CTTGATAACCAACAGGGGAAGCGCAGCAAACGGCGCGCTTTTTCCAAGCGCATCTCCGCGCCTAGCAGCGAGAGCGGCAGCAGCGCCAGGCCCAGCAGCAGTGGAGTGGCCAGCAGCACCCGCTCGCGGTTCACCGCACTTCCGGCGAAGCGCCCGGCCCATTGAGACAAAAGACACCTCCAGGGATCCCGAAAAGCTTCTTGGTTCAGGCCCGGCGCGCGACCAAACAAAAAACACACCTGTGTTTTTGTTGTTTGTTTTTTTTGGGGGGGGGTTGGGGGTTACAAAAACAACTCTTGGGTTTGGCTCCTTCCTTTCTTATTTTTTGGGGGGGGAACCAAAAAAAGACTTGGGTTGGGGAGGGGGAGGGGCATTTCTTGAGGGTTCGCTCGAGCATCATACTACTTGTGCTTTTGTGAAAATGGCGGAAACGCAGAAATGGGCGATGTCCCTTTGATTGTCATTCAAAACAAACTAAGTCATAATGAAAACCTGGTACAAAATGTGCAAACATGGTTAACCCAAAGCCACGTTGAAAAGGCGGATATCCGCTCTGGGTTGTCCCCAATTATTGAGGACGTGACTCAACTGAACAGAAAGGGGATGCCCTTGAAGGAATAAGCCAAAGGGTCAGTCCCTGAGATCCAAGTCAGTTTCTCGGCCAAACGTGAGTGACAATAGCTCAATACTGTCTAGTTAAGTTGGTACTTTATTTCGAAAGGGAATGGGCATGTCCTCTTGTCTCAACTCTGCAAAAAGTTTACCTTGTTTGTGGGTCCAGTAGAAAACCCGAGCTGTTTCCCGAAAAGTTGAAGTCCAAGGATCCAACCGAATAGCAATCTAGTTTCGGAATTGAATTCTTTTAACGAGGCACCTGAGGTCCATGAGAAACCCATGACGTGAGCATTTCGGAAGGCCCCAATCCAAACTGACAAGCGGGGCGGCCAACGAATCCATCCCCGGTGTTTTTGGTATGAGTGATTGGGGAATGGAGTTCAATTCGGCTGGTGCCTAGACCAAGCGGAAACCGATGAGAAACATCACACTTCTTAGCGGCAGCTGGTTTCACTTGCGTGCCAAGCTCATAGGAAACGTGTCACCAGGGGTGTTGGGCGTGTGGTAGAAGTTGATTGAAAGCTTGGAGTCGACTGAAAGAAAAACCCAAAGACAAGTTCCACAAGAGTGTTCTTTGGTGACATTGCTTGAAAGGGAAGTTCGGAAACCAGAGGCAGCTCCCCGTGCAAACAAACCCAAGTCCAAATAGCGGTGAGTACGGACTGTTGCTCAACGAGTCAAAGAAATCACATAAACTTTTAAGCAAGAATGCCCTGTAGACAATTGTGTAACGGATTTCTTAGGCAAACCAAAACACCCGAGTCGGTGCTGGCCAACATCCTGCAGTTGGCATGCTTGACGATATGAGCACTGGGATAAACATCCTACCAGCTGGTGCAGGATTTTGTTTTCTTATAGTTCCCCTACTGCGGATGCACAAAATCCAGCACCACCTGGGAAACTCTGGACGGATGATCTTCGGCAAATACCAACAAACCATGGCTTCCCACCTTGGTTCACGTTGGAAGGGGAGCAACAAATTAAATTTTAGCAGTTAAGTTGAAAAAATGCAATAAGCTAAGCAACACCACGATAGATGTAAATACCCACTAAAATTATACTAAATACAAATCAATATTCAAAAATTAAATTAAATACCTACTAAACCACAAGAAGCAAAAATGAAAAATGCTTCCCAACAACAACCATGCCATGGCTTCTGAGGTGGTGCGAAACGGATTTTGCACCCGTCCGCAGTATCCCCACAACACCTGGCCCCAGTCAAGGTGCTGGAACAGCCCGGAGGGCATCGTCATCATGCCAATCTGGCTCGAGGAAAAGCCCCTCCTCTCAGGGATCGAAACTCAGGTCATGTAAACCTTACAACCCTTGACATGGGCAAGCAAAACACTTTGCTGTTTGCAGCCCCCTTACTAAGAATAAACAGAACCCCAAACAACTGGCAACCGCATTCAAGAAGAATTGCTTCACGATTGCGCACACGCAACATGAAAACTTCCTAAAGCTCAGCAACGCCCCAGCAAGAATATACTTTTTAGAAAAGCCTCCTTTTGGGGAATCCCTTTGTGATTGTGGGGAGTAACCCTTTCTATGTTGCCAAACTGAGATTCCCATCCCGGTGGCCACTTTCTCACTTTTTGTGGAGGAGTCCCTTGGCGGCTCAAACACCCTTTTTGTGGCGTCTTTGTCACCGGCGCTGGGGTGTGACGTACTTGCGCTGCCGGCGGCGTGCGGATGCTGCAACTGGCTTCACCGCGGTGGCAGAGGCAACCGAAAACTGTTCAATGTGATGAAGGAGAACTGGGACAAAGCCCAACTGGTCCCCGCGAATGCCTACAGGAAGCGAGGTCTTCTTGAAACCCTTGAGGGACACCCCTTGGACATGTGGGGAGCCAGGGTAGAGGTGCCAGGCCCCTTGAAAGTAAGAGGCTCAACGATGCCGCCCTGGTGGCCCGACGCATCGCCCTGTTGCCCCTTCCAAGAGTCGCCAAACTGGAGGCTTGTCGTTCTAGCGCGCTGGCTAAGGCCTCATACGGTTGGACCCACACTAAACCCACCAAACGTGCTTGCAATAAGCTTGACCAGAGTGTTCACCGGCTTTGGGGCTAACCCGCCTGCCTTGCGCAACTGCTTGGAGGGGGGAACCACGCACCTTGACGTTGTGACTGGAGCCAGAAGGTTACATGATGTTCATGACACCATGTGCCGAACTGACCAGTGCCTTGCTGGGCACCAAGCTAAAGCTTGGCTTCGCCAAACGGGGTGGCAGGAAGATGAAAACAAGCCGCAGGACTTGCCAGGTGAACGGGTCACCCGAAATCGTCACCTGTTGCGCTGGGCTAAGGGCCCCCGTCGCTCTTTGCTCCTTGGCGCAGCCGTCTCACCAGCCATGCTCAATGAGGCATGCCCGTGGTGCCCCGAGTTGGGCACGTGGCATCACACTGTGTGGGCCTGCGCTTACTCACCCTTTCCCCTTGACTTGGCTCCGCCTCAGGACCCCTTGCTTGCCAGGTGGTTATGGCCTTTAGGACAACCCGCGACCGATACGGCCTACATGAACCACGCCGCACAGGTGTTGAAACACCTGTGGGACCTCCGGCATAGGCCGAGCCAGCGGCCTGCTGCTGGGGCGTGACCTACTCGCGCTGCTGCGGCGGCGCGCGGATGCTGCAACTGGCTTCACCGCGGTGGCAGCGGCAACCGAAAACATGTTCAATGTGGTGACTGGATGTTCTCTCGTGCCTTTCCAAGCTTTGGAATGTTGCCTGAAAAACGTGGTTCAGATACTAAGATCCAAACCAAGAGTACATTGCTACACTGTTTCCTTGGACTTCAACCTGGGTTTCCTTTCCCTTCCGGTTGGTTTTCTCTGGCTTCGTCTCCTGTCTGAATGGAAGCCAAAACGAGCCTGCACCAAGATGAAAGTAGGTGGCACTCTCCCCTGAATCACCGCGTCATCAGGACTCGGTGTATTGCATATTTCTTCTCAAAAGTTGCAAGTGGCAGGAGTCCCCTGAAACTGCCACAGGTCCAAAACAGCCAAATGGAGGGGTGCCTGCTAATGCCAACACGTGAGTCACAATCAAAACCCAGAATGAAAATGGTCTACCCAGAACCATGTACAGAATTGAGAAGGCGCAACTATTTCTGGCTGGGACTGCCCCTTACTAACCTTCGTCTACCCGGGTTTTGATTGTGGCTCACACAGAGAGGATCATAAAACTCATTAACTTGCTGAGTGGATGGCCCCCAAAAAAGTAAAAGCTCAAACTTTATCTGTACCACTAAAATGGTCCAAACCCAAAAAGTTCAAAGTTCATGAACTGAGGAACTGGGAAAACCCACTAAACCAACTAGGAGTCTAAAAAGCTAAGAAACCGGATGGCTGGGAACCAAGAGTAGAGAGGATCATTAAACAAACAATAAAAATAAAAGACGGGACAAAGGGAAAACAAAAAACAAAAACATGGGGAAGTGAGAAAACACCCCTGAAAAGGTGCCGTTCGCCATATTCGCCCAACAAGAATCTCCTGTGCAGCTCGATGGCCCCGAGAGTCATGAAGGCGTTGTTGGCCGCGAAGATGCAGACCAGCTCCAGCGTGAGGACCAGCACCTCCCGCGAGTTTTTTCTTTTTCCGTGGGCGGCGCTGGACGGAGGGATGGGACTCCCAAGAAAAAAGGTGGCGCTGGACAGAAAAAAAGGAAAAGAAAAAAGGGGAGTGCGATGGATTTGCATAAACTTGAGAATGAAACATGAAAGTACAGAAATGGCCCCCAAAGGAGCGCTTCATTGTGAGCTTCTTTTTGCCCTCGCATCGATGAGCTCACCAAAGAGAAAGCACCAAGAAGCCATCCGACTTCGGGGTGAGTGGCTTACCAGTGTCATTCCCTTTATCAGCGTTGCTCGGGTCAGAACTGCAGCATATAAGAGAAATTATAACTGGTGACCCCTTTTTGGGGAAACCACAAGAAACGAACCGCTGTAGTGGACCCCTAATTTGACAAACAATTAGAGTATGCCACCGCAGCAGTCCAGGCATTTGCTAATACGGACCCATTCATGAAAATAGGTGGCCTTTCGGAAAAAACAACAACGAGAGATTTCCCTGGTAAATGGGGCATAAAGCCCATCACCCAAAAAGGACACCTATGTTCATGAAGCCTTGGAACATTCGTGAAGCTCCGGCTCTGCGAAGGCAGCTTTCGAAGCTGAATCACAACCGCCACAACAACAACCAGCATCAAAAACACCGACACCAACTAACCAACCAAGCAAAGCGAGCAACCAGGAAACCAAGCAACTAAGCAACATTAAGCAACATTAAGCAACCACACAATCACGCAACCAAGCACACAAACAAGCGAGTAAACAAGCATACACACATGATAAACAAAACTAACAACCAACCAAACAAACGAATAAACAAAAAAATAAAATAAAATAAAAACACACAAACAACAAGCCCGCGCAAAACCAACCACTACATCTCCAACATCAAGCCAACAAACCCATTTGACATGGACAAAGTCCTGTAGTAGAGAGGTTAGAATAAGGGTAGCTTTTTTCTGTAGTCTATTTTAGTAGGGGAACCCTCCCCCAAAAAAGTTGGTAAAAGGGCACTACTGGTGGACCTAGTGCAGAGAAAAGCACCGCACCTTGGCGCGCCGGAAGAGGAAGACGCCGCCACAGGCCTTGGCCAAAAGGCTGGAGTCATCCTCCGGATCGAGCAGCGGCTCGGACTTGTCTGGGACTGCGCGGAGCATTTGCCTCAGATCCAAGATCAATGTGAGTCCCGGTGTTAAAATGGCGACCGAAAACCATGTAAAGAGTTGCCAAGGCGGCGCAGGCACCCATTTGGACTTGCTAACCTTGAGCTCATGATCCCTTTTCAGGTTGGCTCAAAGGGCAACCAAAGGAAACCAATTTATAAGGAGCCTTTTAAGGAGCCTAACAAACTTTTTCAGGAGCATTGCAAGGAGCCTTTGTAAGGAGCCTTTGTAAGGAGCCTTTGTAAGGAGCGTTTTGAAGAGCTCTAGAAAGGAGCCATAGAAGCCGTTCATTGAAAGTTCCCTGGTTTGACTCACATAGGGCACCCACTGAGGCCGGAGGTGCCAAACCGCGGCGAAGCCAAGAAGTGGAGGCACCAGGCACCAGAATTGGGGCTCCGGCAATCCTGCACACGGAAGTGGGGGGGCGAGTTTGGGCGACGCGAGGGGATGGGCCTTTTCCATTGCCAGACTTAGCTTAAGAACCCCATCTGCTTAAGAATATGTGCTGTTTTCCTCGTTGGTTTTCAATAGAATTCGTCACTGCTGGCACTACCGGAATTATGATTGTCTCTTTTTCAGGGGACGTGAGCAAATGCAGGCTCACTTGCATATTGGGCTTTGTGCTCAATTCTTTGGTGCACACAAACATATGTATGTTCATGGCACTTCTCTAGCGAGACACCACCAACTTAAAAACAAAAAACAACCATGTTGTTTCTTAAACAGTTGCTAGGTCCTCCAGTAGAGAGGAGAGAAGAAGGGTACCCTTTTTTCTGTAGTCTAATTTAGAAGAGGAACCCTCCCAACCAAAAAAGGTGTAAAAGAGCACTACTGGGGGACCTAGTATCGGAAGGCCAAGGAAGCAAAGCGGTGAAAAGTGGAGCATGGGCGGGGTCTAGGCTCTCTATGTCTGGCGCCTCTTTTCAGAAAGCAAAGTTCGATTCTCCATGCCTGTGCTTTCATCTTGTGGCTCCGAGCAGCCCTGCCTGCAACTGAAAACAGAATGGCAAAGGCTTCAGAAGCTACCCCTCGGCCCACACCTCTGCACGGAAAATTTCAACCAGTGCTGAAGGAGACCGATCTAATGATTCACCGAGCTGATCCCGAAATTGCGCCGGATGAAAACTCGTCAGGTCGATTTCGCATCGCCCGGATTGATGGGTGTGGGTCAAACATAGGTACCCAAAATGGTTTGCCCTGGTAAATGGATACCACGACTAAAACCTGCGGTCCATATCACTGCTGATTGAAACTGGACCCAATACCCATGTTGTTCTCACCTGCCCAGTTTGGACCCAGAAACAGGTGATCACCAGTTGGGACCTCGCGAGAAACGGTTGCCAACATGGAGAAACCAAAAGGTCAAATGAGGTCGATGCGCTTTGGTCGCACGTGACTGCTGTTGGGCCCGCGGTTTTTCCCGTTGCGCGAAAAAGGAGCTGCGAGGGGAGGCCGTCGGGGCGCGATTCCAGAAACCAAGAGCCAAACTGAAGGACATCATTTTATAGGGGTGCCTTCCATTTCCATTCTTTCCAGGGATCCGAATCTTTTCAGGAAACCATCAAAAAAAGCAGGGTAGGGGAAACAGCCGGTTTTTGAAAAAAAAAACGACGGTTGAAAAGAATGGGGAATCAACCCTTAGACATTTACCCTTTCATAGGCATGAACATGGGCCCGGCGGACCAAATTTGGGGTGGGGGCGGTTCCACCTCATCTTGCTGGCAAAAACCTCGATTCTGTTTCATATTTTGTCTCTGACTTCCTGAGTGGATTGGCCAAAAACCGTCCCAGCTTGTCCAAGCCACTCAAATGGTCTGAACCCAAAAAGCTTTCAAGTGCATGAACTCAGGCAGTGAGGAGTCTACTTCCCAAATAGAAACATGTCAAACCCGAGGCCCGTCTTCAGTTCCTTGCCTCCCATCCTGGCTCCATCGAAGAGCGCCCCCACCAACAAGGGGCCTGCCACGTTCCCCAGGGAGCCTTGGCCGAACCACGTTCTCAGGCAAGTCTACCGGGACAGGGCCTTGCCCGAAACCTCCAATACTAGGACCCCCAGTAGTGCCCTTTTACCAACTTTTTTGGGGGAGGGTTCCCCTACTAAAATAGACTACAGAAAAAGGGGTACCCTTATTCTAACCCCTTTCGTGGAGGACCTCCAATAAGCCAATCTACTTGGTTGCGGTTTACCACCGCTCTGCAAGAAGTGTTTCACTTGTTGGGGGGTTTATGGAGATTTGTCGAGCTGTTTCAACCAAAAGGTTCAAATCCGAAGATCCAACCAGATAGCCACAAAGACCCACCTATGCATGGGGTACGTCAGTCAATGAGGGGCCTCATTAATGTTTCCCACGAATCGCCAAGGACAAATGAGAACGTCTCTCAAAAGAGGGGACCGAACCAAAAATGCATCGTAGTGTGTTCTTCGGCTTTTCTTTTCGACACCCAAGATAGACTTCGGCATGGAAACCACTGCCAGGCCGCAGTACCACAAGGCCCCCGTCCCATATTAGAAAAACACGCACACAAATAAATAAATATATATATATATATAAGGATTCGGGATCCTACACAGCACATCGATTAAACGCATCTGTTACACATGCGCTCTTTGGATTGATTGGCCTTTTGCGTGCTTGCTTGGACCCTTCTCTAGTGAGGAGCCGTGTCCCTGCATGCTTTCAACATCGTCGGGGGCCTCAGAATGTAGAAAATCTCCACCTAGGTCCTCCAGAGGTTAGAAGAAGGGGACCCTTCTTGTCTCTAAGGGTACCCTTTTGTCTGTGGTCTAAGACTAGTAGGGGAACCTAAAACCCAAAAAAATCAGGTGAGAGAAAGGGCACCTGGTTGCTGGACCCAGGACCTCAGGGCACGTCGAAAATTCGCCGAGGGTGTCGCCGAGGAGCCCAGGCCCACGGCGAGGCCCAGGTGCTCCGAGCGCAGCGGCTCCACAAAGTGCTCCATGATCAACGCCATGGCCGCGTTGAAGATCACCTGAACCGCAGTCCCATGTTTTTTCTCGCAATTCGCATAGGCAATTTGTGGCATTTTAGGCATGTATTTTAGGCAATCTATTTTAGGCAATGTAGTTTGGGCGACTTGCAGTCCTTTATTGAGCTCCCAGGTGTTTCGGGCAATTTAGCCTTCCTCCCACTACCATAGCATTCGTGGGAGGGTACCTGGAAGATCAGTAGGACGTAGGCTATGGGCAACTTGTTGGTTTTTTTCTGAGTCCTCGCAGGTTAGAGAACCTTTTTTTTGGCGTGCACTATGAAGCTCCGAGGTGTTTAGGGCACTTTACCGTTCTTACAAACATACTGTAGCACCGGTAAAAAGGGTACCTGAAATGGATGGAAGAGCTCCCAGGGCTCGGAGTTTTTTTGTTCCCCCGCTTTTGTTGGGTAGCGCAGTCCTATGGTTTTAGGAAATTTACCCTTTTTACAAACATAGAACCTGTAGCCTGTCGCAGCAGGACGGAAACCATGGGCAAGTGCTTGTTGGGCTTTTCTGAGTCCTCACAGGTTTTAAGGCTTTTTTAGGGGGCTCAAGACTTGCACTATGTAGCTCCCAGGTTGTTCGGCCAATTTGGCCTTCCTCTCACTACTCACTACCATAGCATTTGTGGGAGGCTTCCTGAAAAATCAGTTTCCTCTTAAAAAGAAGCTGCTGTGAGGCGCTATGTTAGTGGGACGGAGGGTAGAGCTAAAGTCAAGCCTTGCAAGATGTAGGGACAACCTCACAAAACAAGAAAACATTGGCCTTGGATGTTCGATTCGCCAAGTTGGCGTCTGTGCGGATCGCCAATTGGGTGTTTTACCTCCTAACCTTTCAACCGGGGGGGGGGAATAAGTCAGGATATAACCTAGGTTGCCCCTTTTACTAACTTGGCAACGAACATCCAAGTAAGGTCTGGGAACCTCTCAGACGGAACCAAACAAAAACATGCAGCGCCGAAGAAGCAAACAACACATCAGTCATCCGTATTGAACCTCGACTCCCGAGCGCAAGCGCTCCTCCCGAGTTCATATGGTGGGGGACTTTCCGTTGGATGGTTTTAAAACGAAACCACAATTAGGTCCTCCAGTAGAGAGGTTAGAATAAGGGTACCTGTTTTTCCTGTATCTATTTTAGTAGGGGAACTCTCCCCCAAAAAAAGCAAAAGGGCACTACTGGGGGGACCTAGTAGGAGACTTTGTTTGGCTGATTTTCAAACGAAAACAAAAACCACCTACCTGGAGGCGTCCCCAATTTTTGAGATGCACCCATCCGGGTGGCTCTTGTCTTTCTTTGAGCTTGGTGGTTTCAAAGCACCGAAGCCGTTTTGGGGAAGCCGCTGAGCGCACGCAGGAATCAGGGGAACACTGTGCCATCTATGTTCACCCTGAAAAAGCCTGTACAGCTACGTGTCTCATGGATGTGGACAGGGGCTTCCACAAAAAGAAAGCTTTGGTTCTCCAAAAAAATGAGAGGCTGCCATTTTTGTTTGGCGCGGGGGGGGGGGGGAAAAGGGGGCAACAGCTGCCTACCATACTGTGGATGAACTCCTTCGGCCGATGGAGACCCCGAGAATTTCGGGACCACCAGGGTCGAAGCGCGAAAACCGAATGGCTATTGAACTGAACCTGCAAGTGTAAGAGAAAAACCACATGAAAGGAATTGTGCCACTTTGACCTAGCTGCAACCGGGGGAGTTTCCCACCCAACAAAAAGATCCCTATAGAATTCACTTGACATTTACCCGTGTTCTAATGCCGAGAACCCAGTCGATTAAAAAAGCCCGGGTTGCTTAGGGGGGTGTCCCAGTCTAGAGGGGATTCTTCGCTTCTGGATGGAGCAGGCTGATGTCGAGTATTCAATAACTCCTTCCCACCTCTGACATCGGATTGCCGTAGGTTCAGGCAAAAATTATCTAGGTGGGTGTGTCCGTTTCTTTTTGGGGGACCCCCCAAAATGGATTTTGCTTTTTTCCTTTTGGCTTTCCCTTACAACCACCCAGCCCGAACCAAAAAACAACAAGCGACACACACAGCTTGTTGATCCCCACCTTCCCGTTCCCCGCCCCCGACCCCTGGGGTCATGTTCCAAGCGTCGGAGGTGGCTGCACCCACCACCACCCGCGAGATCAGCTGGGAGTGGAAGCTGGCAGAAGCCGCCAGGGCGATGCCACCCATCGCCATGGCCACGCCAAGCTGCAGAATCGCCTGGTCAGGGGACTGCCAGGGGTCCAACGGGGAAAAAACAGCTTTTTTCAAACAACGTAGACACCCCAAGATGGTGGTTAAAAGATGTGTCTCCAAAATCCCAGATGGTGGTGAAAAGTTCTAAGAATCTGAAAACCCCCAAGATGGTGGTTGTCCCTTCGGCTTTCCTTTGAAGCGACGTACCCCCTCCCCCGGTAATTCCCCTCAAAGACATCACCCCCGAAGGAGCTCATCAAGCCCCGAACTCGGGTGAACTGGTCCATCCTGGGCCCAACCCCCACGGGGCACACCAAAAGAAGTCAGATCCCGGCAAATATGATGGTGGACTCCCTTTTGGTTGGTATTGAAAAAAAAAGGAAGCGAACCATTGTAGTCACAATTTTGGTTGGTATTGAACTTTGGAACCCCAGTAAATGGAACCAAGGACTAAAACCTGCGGTCCCCTGGTGCTTTAATTTTGACCCATACCCATATGATGGTGTAGTGTCTTTTTGGTTGGTATTGAAAGGGACAAAATGGAAGCGACCCATTCTAAGGACAATTATTTTGAGAACCCCCATATCTTGTCTATACTTCACACAAATAGAATGATATCGGATATGAATGAAATGGGACCAACTTCTTCGTACCTCAAGGGATGGCATCTGTGGGATGGTCAGCCGATTGACGGCAGGATGTCATCCGTTCCTCTGAACTATGGCGCTTCAGCACGAGCCTTATCTGTTGGTGGTTGAATATCTTCATACAAGTCATCATGCCGACAAGGCTAGTTCCCTGCAAACGTGTTGCTGGTTCAACCATAACATGTGTAACATGCGCACGGTGTGCACAGGGTCTGTACAACAACCACCGTAAGTTATAAGTGCTTGTTTTCTGACATGTAAAACCAGTGGGCTGGGTACGTAAGAGCAAAAAGAGCAAAAAGAGATATTGGACCAAGTTCGTAGCAAACACATAACATTGGACTGTTTTCTTTGGCCAGTCCACTCAGGAAGTAAGAGGATGCCCTCGGCAAAACTGCCCTTGGGAAAGTAAAATGAGGGAAGCTAGTAGGTGCATGGTGTCAAAAGAATCCGTTTTCCTTCTTCCCCCACCTCGCTTGTTCGATGGTCCAACCACCATTTGCAGGGGAGCTCACTTCTCAAACTAGTTGGGGGTGGGGGGGAGACGATTGACATCCATGCTTACGTAATTTTGAGGACGTCACATGGATCTCCAGAGATGGGACGTATTTTGTCGGATTGGCCCAATTCGAGCCATGGCAGATGAAAGATTGGGGAATTGCGATGGCGATATTTGCCAATAGTTCAAGACAAACCCACGGAATGCAGACGACCCTACATTGAGGTGGAGAGCGTTCTCTTGCGCAGCAGGTAGCACAGATGCAATGAAAGCTGGTGTATGCGTGCTTCTCGTGTAGCCGGTTGTCAGTAGGGAAGGAGGGAATGAACCTTTGAAGTGAGGGAACGACACCTCACCAACCCTTGTAGTTTCTTTCAATCGAATCCCTAGGTTCATGGAACATATCCAAAGCCTTTGATACTGCGGATGGAGGAAACCCTGCACCACCTCAGAATCCGTGGATTGATGATTCGCCTGTAAATACCAAAAACCATGGGTTCTCATGATTTCAAAGTGGTGCGAAATGGATTTTCTCCATCCACTGTATGCTTGCTGCGAACCACGAGACAAGCATGCTTGAACACGTGGGCTTGCATATTAGCCGTGCTTGCTCAGGCGAGTCGTTCCGCCCGCCCGGCCTTGGCGCCATACTTGTCAATGGCGAAGCCGCTGGGGATCAATGCAGCAACTGAGGCCCAACCCTGGGTGGACAGGATGATGCCCACCTGACGAGTGTCTCTCTTGGGGATGGTGCTAAAGGAAAACCAAGGGGATAAACCACCAATTTTGGATTAGAGAAACACCCATGTGTTTATAATAATGTGTCTGTGTCTGGGTCTGTGTGTGCGTGCGTGTGCGGTTGTGCGCGTGTGTGTGTGCGCGCGCGTGTGTGTGTGTGGTGTGTGTGTGTGTGTGTGTGTGTGTGTGTGTGTGTGTGTGTGTGTGTGTGTGTGTGTGTGTGTGTGTGTGTGTGTGTGTGTGTGTGTGTGTGTGTGTGTGTGTGTGTGTGTGTGTGTGTGTGTGTGTGTGTGTGTGTGTGTGTGTGTGTGTGTGTGTGTGTGTGTGTGTGTGTGTGTGTGTGTGTGTGTGTGTGTGTGTGTGTGTGTGTGTGTGTGTGTGTGTGTGTGTGTGTGTGTGTGTGTGTGTGTGTGTGTGTGTGTGTGTGTGTGTGTGTGTGTGTGTGTGTGTGTGTGTGTGTGTGTGTGTGTGTGTGTGTGTGTGTGTGTGTGTGTGTGTGTGTGTGTGTGTGTGTGTGTGTGTGTGTGTGTGTGTGTGTGTGTGTGTGTGTGTGTGTGTGTGTGTGTGTGTGTGTGTGTGTGTGTGTGTGTGTGTGTGTGTGTGTGTGTGTGTGTGTGCGTGCGAGCGTGTGTGCGTGTGTGCGTGCGTGCGTGCGTGCGTGGGTGCGTGCGTGCGTGCGTGCGTGCGTGCGTGCGTGCGTGCGCGCGCGCGTGGGTGTGTGTGTGTGTGTGTGGGTGTGGGTGTGTGTGTGTGTGTGTTTTGTGAGTGTGTTTTGTGAGTGTGTTTGTGTGTGTGTGTTTGTGTGTGTGTGTGTTTGTGTGTTTGTGTGTGTTTGCGTGTGTTTGTGTGTGTTTGTGTGTGTTTGTGTGTGTTTGTGTGTGTTTGTGTGTGTTTGTGTGTGTTTGTGTGTTTGTGTGTTTGTGTGTTTGTGTGTGTGTGCGTGTGTGTTCGGCTTAAGGAGAACACGACCAGAACACCCGCCATTTTGGGGGCTCCCTTATTTCGACTCGTATGGCCTTTGGTTACTCTTCGGGACATGGCTTGGCACACAAAAAACAGAATATTATGTTCTACCGAAAGTATACGACGTCTTGGAGGAAGCTGCAAATGGGTGGCTCACTCCCGTCTCCCACTTGCTCCTTTCCATCCGACGGCCGTTTCTCCTGCGCATCTGTTCCAAGTTATTTTCACGGGACATGGGTGTGCCCTTGTGAAGTACCATGAGGTGGTTGGAAAGAAACTAAAGCAGTCAATCTTTGCGTTCTCTGATTTTGATGAGCAACCCACACTTCCTGATATTTTGGTGTGTGTCCCAAATGCCATCCCCTTGACTCCAGTAAATGACAAGAAACATGGACCCCTTAACCTCATTTTTGTTGGCACAGCCGCTGTTTTGGTGAAATGTGGAAAGGCCGCTTCGGGAGACAGTGGCCAACCAAGGAAAGTGCAAGCAGTAATTCCAATCCTTGCTATGTCTTCGAACACGTCAGGCAAAGGCTGGCGCCTAGGTGATACGAGTCAAACACTGCAGGCCTAGGGGAGGCACAGGAAGGCTATGGCCCCTGGGTGATACGCTTACTGTAGGCCCTAGGGGAGGCACAGGCTGTAGATTGGTGGCCCCCAATAGCTACTATGGCTCCTATACACACTGATTCGATTGGTTGGAAATCGATTCCTGTGACCCGTGGCTACAAAACGAAACTGGCAAATGGCCACAACTGCCATCCTGGCGGTCTCCGAAATCGGACATAAGCCCACTCGCCCAGGACAGGCACATGGTCGATCTGCCTGGGGACGTATTGAGCGGGTATATTAAACACGTTGAGTTGGGTGAAAGTAGAGAACTTTGGTTAAGTCATCCTCTGCACTTGTCCAAATCAAGGAATTTGCGCCATCTACTTTCACTCGTGCACTGCGGGGTGCGTTGGTCCAATAAAGACTCACGTTTAAGTCCTAGAGGTCTTGTCTCAAAATAGGACATGCAACCCGAAATGAGGCTGGCGGTTTCTCCAACAGCAACCCTTTCTTGGCAAACACCTGAAAGTGTCCATCCTCCTCCTCCTCCTCCTCCTCCTCCTCCTCCTCCTCCTCCTCCTCCTCCTTATCATCGCCATCATCCTCCTGCTCCTCCTCCTCCTTATCATCCTCCTCCTCCTCCTCCTCGTCATCATCGTCCAAAACCTTCGGACCAAACCCACCCGCCAACACGTTCCTTCCATTTGGTGAAGACCCCAGAAAAAAAGTCCAGCGATAAATTCCTTTTGAAACCAACCAGGGAAAATAGAAAACATATTCTGAAGCAAATCGAAGGTTCAGCCACTCCCAGCCATCAACTCGCCCAACGTCCCGCCTGCGCCTTGGGGACGAGGAAGGGCACGATGGTCACGTACCTCACGGCTTCTTGGAGCCCTTCCGTTTCAGCGTGGCAGATCTGATGCAAACTCGGGCGCTGCGAAGCACACGAAGAAATCCCCGCAAAACACGAGAAGTCCCGCGAAAGGCGAGGTCCTCCACATTTGAGAGGTTAGAATAAGTTGGTACCCGACTGTTTTTGTTCTGTCTATTTTAGTAGGGAAACCCTCCCAACCAAAAAAGAAACGGTAGAGAAAGGGCACCTAGCTGGGGGACCTAGAACAAGTCGAAGCACTTCTGGTGGATCAAACTTTGCAACGAAACAGAGAGAGATCAGTTGTGAACTGGGCTGTGGTTGAAGTCAACTTGCAAAAGCTCCACAACTAAAACACCTAAGTTGAACCGGACGGCTGGTTCCGAACCGCCAAGCAGCGTCTACCTCCCTCCTGCTGCTTGTTCAATGTCAACTGGTGCTGTCCCATGGTTGTTGGGCACTACTTGGATGACCGCCCCTCTTACAGGTTGATATCCCTGACAACTGATTTCCCTTTTGGCAATATGCACGGTACATCCCGCTTAAGGGACTTATTAGCTCAGGACATTTACCACTTCCTGGCTAAAGCTGCTGCTGTGGATGGAAAAAAGTCACTTCGCGCCAAATGGGATTAACGAAACCATAGATAGATGCATACGCATATTATGTTGTATCAAGTGTTGTATATATATATAAGGGGTCAACCACCTAACTAGTGCCTGGCAGGGATTTTGTTACCACACAAAGTATCACAGAAGTGGAGGGAAGTGCCGTGATTCCAACCAAATGCCCTGATTCTCACAGGGCCTGGTCGACGTTCCAGCCCAAGTTCAGCCCTAAGGCTTGGGTGCTGGCGAACGAAAAACCCTTTGCAAAAAGCGAATCACTTGGCTTCGATTCGGAAAACCCAAATGATTTGCAACCAACAAGCTTTTCCGTCTACAGATCTGTTACCCAAAGTATCCCAATAGCACTCAAGTTTCGTCAAGGGTCAACATATCTTTGCTCGGTTGTTTTCTGCTCCCCTGCTCAAAGCTTAGCTTTTAGTGGTTTAATGGGAAAACCCATTAGTTGGCAAAAAGTTAAAGTCCGAACATTTCTTGGCAAAATGCACCAAAGTTTGGTCCCCGGCCGACCCTTCCCCCTGTTGATTTGGCTATGGGTCAAACCCCGTGCCCCCAATGAACATCCCAATCCAACCACTAAAATAGGTCCTAAAATGGCTAGTGAATTCACCCAAAGCCACCAAAATGGCTGATCAACCAAAACGGTGTTGACAACCACGGCCATTTGTTCCTTCCGTCCAAGTCCGAGTCTGAGGGCCATCTATTTTTGAACGAAATCAACCCCGAGTCCGAGGGACCCCGTCAGAAGGAACAAGATGGCGAAGATCACCAGCCGCGAGGCCGACGCCACCGGTCGCCCCGACATCGCGGAAAATCGGGGCTCTTGGACTCTCAGAAATCGTGTTTGTTTGTTGGTTTAAAGAGTGTTGGCATTTTGTTGTGTGTGACATGTTTTGTTTCTTTCTTATTTTTTCCCGGAGCCCCGGAATGGCGCGGCTTCCTTCGGAAAGAAGTTGGCTGCTGGGCTGAGGTCCCGTTGAAGCCACCTTTCACCGAGCCTCCAACAAAAAAACGAAACGTAATCGGCACAATGGGCCAAAATAACACAATCACCGCAAAAATCACACAATCAATTTACCATAACCTGCGAAAACCCATAGACATCCATAGACATAGACCGTTTACCAAACGCTAAGGGGGCTTGACATGTCCAATCGCCAACCCTTCAATAGGGATTTAGGACTTCTTCTTTTAGCCAGTTCGCAGCTTCTCTCGTGCGGGCTTGCTTGCAGCGTTTTCCATGGAGTCAGCTTTATATGTGCCGAGCGGCTGAGCCCGGTCGAGCGTCGCGCGTCGAAACTCGCGCGTGGGGCTCTGCAAAACGTGGCCCACGAGCAAATGGTTCCCGCTCAACCCGAAGCCCAGACTAAAGCCCTGGTTGAATAGAGCTGCCCCCTCGGGGATCCTTCACTTTTCACGGTGAAACAAACGGTTCCAATGCCAATCCGCTGCCGGATGTGCAACCACTTGGGCCTAGTGGGCCTAGGCCTATGTCTTGCTTCCCCTGGGTCCGTTTGAACACCATTGAATGATGTGGCAGGCATGCAATCCACCCTTTGGCGGCCTAAGCCACCCCAAAGAGGGTGCCACCCCCCCAAAAAAACAAAAAACCATTTCCAGACAGCCATGAACATTGCTTCAAGTCTCAGCCAAATGGATATCCAAAAGACAATTGTCACCAAATCTTGTGGTTGATTTTAAAGAAGTTGGCCCCTCAGGCTATGCAAAGTTCTTCTGAAACAAAAGAGAAAAACAAAAGATACTCTGCAAGATAAATGGGATCGGAATTGGGATGTCTACGTCTACGTTGAACAAGTGGAACCTGAGCAAATGGTCTGCGGCCCTGCAAGGAAAAGAAGCCACAGGAAGTCTAAAATCAGATGGTGTTCAACCTAACCCGGCGGTGTAAACAGCCGAGACCTCCATTGGAGGGACCGCAAACTACGGTACCTGGAGGTTTCTATGACGCAATAGGTTACTTATCCCAACATAGGTGGCCGTTAGGAAACATATCTGGCCCTGGTAATGGGCTATAAAACCAATCTAAACCAGCGGAACCTTCTTTTAATTCTATTCCAAACTAACCGGAAAGAAAACGAAAACGCACCTACAAGAACTATATATGTTTCCCAAAAGATAGGCAGTCACGGCAACCTCCTTTTTTTTTTGGACGAGTGGAGCTTTTCAGACTCGTCCACCGGGCACCAGGAGCCCTTTTTCGGGGCCCCCGACGCTCCCGGGCGTTTCGCAGCTGCTCCCCGAAGCGAGCCTCCACGCACCTCACCAGCCCGGTTTGGTTCAGGCGCTCGCTCGCGGGGCGCGGAGGTTTTAACTCCGGGGTCTCCGAAATTTTCTGAAAAAAGAAATGGGTGTGGGTCAGAAATAGGTAAATGAAACAAGAACTAAAACCTGCGGTCCCCCGGTGGTTTAATTTGACCCATACCCAAATGAGATTTTCTGAACCAGATTTTGCGCCTAGTTTTGGGCGGGTGGATTTCCAGCAAGAAAGGGAAAAAGTGTCTCAGGGAAGATGAAACCAAATTTCCAGATTCTCCGATTGATTGAACCCAATGGTGACTACGTTCACGTTTCCAGGGTGGATTTCTGGGGTCTCCGATTTCCCGAAACTACACGAGGTGACTATTTTGGTGTGGGTGAAGGGCTTCCAGACTCTCCATTGCCAAAACAAACATGATGCAAAGCTGCCAACCAGAGCTCTGACGCGTCTGGAAATGAACATCGTTCTGTGGGGTGGTTGCATAATAAGGAACCCAAACATAAAGCTTGTTATTCTTGGGAGCCACCAAAAAACGGTCTGATTGCTTGCTCGGAATGGACACCTGTTCTCGTTTTTCCACCACAGCAAGCTCAAAGCAAAGCGACAATCAGATGTTCCCAGCCCAGAATCCGAGCCTTCCAAGCGGACAAGGCCTTGTTTCTGTGTGGCTTCCCTTTCCAAAACCAGGATGCCCCCGAAATGACTTTCTTACCTTTAGCTATCTTGGCAAATCTTCGCTCTTTACAGCCCCCACTCAAACACTAATAGAACCGAACCAGAAACAAACACATGCGAAGCGCTGAGCAATAGTCTCCTGTCTTGCCTTCAAAAAGAAAGGCGCCAGGCAACGATGATAACTACTTGTGGGCCAAGGACACAGCAAGATTAGGTTTTGACCCCTAGCTGAATTCTGAAGCTCGCCACTTCTGGCACCCCAAATGGACCATAACCAACGTCATGGTTTCTGCTTGCGCGAAGCAAATGGATTTCGCAACCATCCACAAGTATCACATGGTTCTTCCCACCTGTCTGCTTTCAAAGGAACACCACCAGGGAAAACCGACGCCGCCGTTTGGGGGATCGATGACTTCTTGGTTGGACCAACCCCCCGCTGCGACCGACCCCGCCACCGCCCCCGCTGGCGATTCCGCGAGCAACGAGTAACGAGGCTTCGAGGCTTTGGCCGGCGCTGGAGCCACAGCACCGCGTGGGAGGTGCCGAAACCCATGCAGTGCAGCAGCTGCTCCTCTTTCATGGTATTTGCAAACCCAAAGTCCTCCATTAGAGAGGTTAGACTGTTTTCCCGGTAGTCTATGGGGGAACCCTCCCCCCAAAAAGTTGGTATAGTCTATTTTAGTAGGGGAACTGTAATCTATTTTAGTAGGCTAACCCTCCCAACCAAAAACGGGGTGAGAAAGGGCACCAATTGCTGGGGGACCTAGGCAAACCAAACCAAACCGGGGGAAACCCCCGGATCCATCCTTGCGGGAACCAACGGATGGCTGGGCTCTACTTTATATGTTCTGATGTTCTGCGAAATGTGATTCTTTTTACATGTGGGTTAAATGGAAACCCGACCGCCAAACCAACTAAACCTCTAACCAGCTGAGGGGACGGCTGGGAACCGCCAAGACAACTCAGCCTTTGGAACCAGGAACACCTGGTCAGCAAGGGAAGCCCTTTCGGCCAAAGTCTGAGAACTCACGAAGTGAGAGTGGCATGGGACATTGCCCGCACGCCAAAATTGATTTCCCTCAACAGTCAAGCGCTTGTTTGGTCCCCAAGTGTCGCCGTTCCCACAGTCACATCCTCAACTAGGTCCTCCAGTAGAGAGGTTAGAGTAAGGGTACCCTTTTCTCTGTAGTCTATTTTAGTGGGGAACCCTCCCCCCGAGAAAGGGTAAAAGGGCACTACTGGGGGACCTATAGTGAAAATGACCTTCGCTTTGAGAGCTTCTTCCAACCCCGAAGGACCAGTTCGAAGTTCCCATGTTTCCAACTCCAGCGTCGATGACGAGCTGATGGGACAAGGCAAGCCTGGGAGACAAACGGCTTGGGCATCACTTTAAAGGAACATCTGAAAAGAGGGTCTTGGTGCCGGTTTAGTCGGGTTACTTGTTCAGCCCTTTCCGCAAATCTCGAGCCGAGCACAAATCGGGAGTGCCCAAGAAAGACTATTACACTGCTTCTGGCCCACATGAATTAAACCTTATCCCAGCGGTGTAGCCAAGGCCGCTGCCTAGACACTTGGGTACTCAGAAACCCAAGAGTTCTGACAAGCTTTCTGGGAGACACAGGCACAGCAACACATAGCCCTGGAAGTTTGCTGAACACCAAGTGACGACTAAAACCCGCCAACAGCAGGAGAGACTGAGCCTCTGGACAACATGAATGTTCCCTGTTTCCGTGTCCACAACCTCAGGTGCTGGGGAACATGCAAGTCTTTGCGGGTGCGGGCTGGTGGTTGTCGCAAACCATCACGCAGGCGTGCCGGAAACTGGAAGCGGCTGCAAGCGGCAGGGTTGGACACAGATAAAACAGCCAGATCCGACCCCTTGAAACCGGAAGCAATCATAGGTGTCCTTTTGGAAAATAGATGGCCCTGGTAGATGATTGAACCACCAGGTAAACCAGGGCCCTCTGCTTTTTTACCAAACCAACCAAAAAGGACACCCATGGAAGAAAAGGGAAGCTGTTTCAAACTCAAAACCCCAAACAAGAAACGGTAAGAAGGGCACCTAGCTGGGGAACCTAGTGGTTTCAACTGCGAAAGTTTCTCCCCGCGTCCTTGAGCTTGCGCTCGAAGAGGAAGGGGTAGGTCAACGGCAAAGCCTTCACCCAGGCCGGGACCACACCGCCAGCCTCGCGGTTGGCGGATGGAGCGATCGCTCTTGTGGTTGGAGCGATCATCTGCACATGCGTTCGGAGGCTCCCGGCTTTCAATGGCAGACCCGACCCCTCCATTTAGACACCCTGCTTCGGTGGTTGGGGGTGTTAAAACCAGGCAGTTTGAAGGCCCTAAATCCATCGGGAGCCTCTGGGTGGGCCAAAAGAGGGGCCATGTTTGAGTCATTACCCTCCCAGCTAACATGGAAGTGCAGAAAGACTTCTTGCTTCTTGGAAAGGGCCTTTTTGCACTTCCATGTTAGTTGGTGTGTACTTGCTTTTAAACAAGGGGCCTATGTTTTAGTAGTTGCTTGCTTTTCATGGGAGCGCCCTGCAAAAAAGGCACAGTCCACTGTGAAAACCGTACAGTAATACTACTTTACAATCCGCAATGGCACACTACTACCGCAAGCAACACCTACCATGTGGAAAAAGGATTCAGGATTGATTTTAAAGAACCCAAACAGGTAAATTGGGTAGCACTAAATGGGTCCCAACAAATGGGTTCAAGCCATCGCAACCTGTGTACTCGTGGTGCAAACGGAAATGGCCCCAAAGCTCTGCTCAAAGTGAAGGTGTGGCTGAGAAACCACCTCCACAAGACCAAATCCTCTCGTCGCCCAAGATGAGGACTCAGGATTGCTGAGCGTTGGCCAAGCCTAATCCATAATTCCTATAGGGAAGCCACTACAAAGGAACACCGTTTCTTTGCGTAACCCAAGGTAAGGATTCAGGATTCACCTTGGAACAGCCCAGGATTGCCTTTGAACAGCCCAAAGAAACCTTGAACACCTGAAACCCGTCACTTGGCACGACTTTCACCCAAGGAATGTCTCGGGGAGACCAAAAACTGGAGAGCTGCCCTTTGGTCCTGGAAAACCTCCGTTTTTCAGGGTCCCAACTCAAAAGGAACAAAACAGAACAAACCCTGGAGGGAGGGGTTCAAATGAACACCCCGGGGACAAGGGAAAGACACAACAAATGGGAGAACATGTGTTTTTTGTTTTTCACGGTCATGTGGGAAAAGCACGCAACAAATGTGGGGAAAATTGATTCCCCTAGTCACAAGGGAAACACACAAATGTGTGGAAATTCGAATGAATTCCCCCGGTCATCCTCCATTCGCTTAAGCCCCTGGCAAAAATAAGCGTGAAATAGATTCCCTTTAAAACCAACAGGGGAAAATAAAACATATTCATTTCAGCACTGGAAGCCGCAAAAGGTCTTCTGAGGCACTGGCCGTCAGCAAGGGCTGGGACAGCTGATGCGCCAACTTCCGGTTCAGCTGATCATTCTCCCAGCCTGGGATGCGTACGTCTGGATGGGCAGGTTTGTCTCAAAAATAGGGGACCCCAGCAAAAATTGGGGGGTTTCCAATTCCAGGTCCTCCAGTAGAGAGGTTAGAATGAGGGTACCAACTTTTTCTGTAGTCTATTTTAGTAGGGCAAAAGGGCACTGCTGGGGGACCTAGTTTTGGTTTTCTCTTAAAACCAGCAAGAAAGGGGTACCCCGAAAGAAGGACAGACCCATGTCCCTTTGCCAACCACCGGTTGGTTGCGTGGTTTCTGGTTGGAAGGTGGATCCCATTGGCCCGGCAGTTGTAGGCCCAACAAAGGGTCGCCCCTCAGAAAGAAGACATCCAGATACGGTCTCTTTGTTTCCGCACCTTTTGGACTGAGCCAAAGCTTGGTGGCTGTGGCTGCTTGACTTGCACAAACTGAGAATGATGTTGTCCCTCCGCAGCCGAACTTGTTGTTGGCTTAGAGGGGGAAAAACTATTCCTAATCCTTTAAGCGGGCTCCGAGTCCCAATTCAACCATGGGAGCTTCTCTAAAATACCGTGGATGGTTGCGAAATCCGCTTCTCGCACCACCGAAAAGAAGCCATGGTTGAAACCAGAAGGTCTGTTAGTCTTGACAGGGGAATCGAATCATTCCAGGCTTCGCAACCATCCACAGTTCCCCAAAATTGTTGAACTCTTTTGGTGGGCATCATTTCGGTGGGGAAAAAAGTGTCCACCAGTCACCTTCCAGCTGGTTCCCCAATCAGATTCATAGCCAAGTGACAACCACGAACGATCATTTTAGTCGGGCACCCCCTAGAAAGTCAACTATATCTCATTTTCCACGACTCTGTTCCCCGAACCAACCCAACCCAACCGGTGGTTCAAGGGAATTTGCCTAAGGCGCCCTAAGCCCGAAAGCTCCCTGAGAACCCGAAAAATGACACCCAAAAACCCAAACCAAAAAACAACCGACTCCATCGCCGCGGTCTTGGAGCCCGGCGGATGCCCGGATGGCCCTGGCGCCGCAGGCGCCGCAGCAGCGCCAGGAGCGTGGCCTCGGAGCTTCGGGCTGCGGCCGACCGCTTCGAGGGATCGACGAATCTGTACTCGGTTGCGAAATCTGCTCCCCTGCTAAAAGTTGAAAGCTTTTAGTGGTTTAATGGAAAGCCCATTGGTTGGCAAAAAGTTCAAGTGCTAACATCCAAGCAAAATGCACCAACGTGTACCTCGTGTTGGTGTTCAAGGTGTTTGGAGTGAACATGGTTTGGTTTTGAAGGTGTTTCGGGTGATGGTTTTGGAGTGAAACCAAAGTGAACATGGTTGGTTGGTGGTTGGCTTTGGAGTGAAACCAAAGGGAATCTTGGATGTTTTTGCTTTTGGGCGGGGGGGTGGGGTGGGGTGGAGTGAGGTGAAACCAAAGGGAATGTTGCTTGTTTGTTTTGGTTTGGTGGGGGTTTCAGGTTGGTGTGGAGTAAAACAACAGTGAATGTGGTGTGTTTGCTTTGCTGTTTGCTTGGTTGTTTGTTTTTGCGGGTGGAGGAGTGGGGCTATCTTGCCACAATGGCAGGGGTTGCCTCAAGGACACCTGTTGGGTGAGCAAATTCTATGGGGTGAAGACCAGGGTCCAATTCTTAGGGTGATGCTGGGGCGTGGGGGCGGGGGGGCATCCCAAAGTGACCTTTTGGGGCTAGAAATCAACCCAGACACCCCCACCTACTGGTTCAATTCCTAGGCAAACGTTTAAGTTGGATCCAGCCATACGAAGACAACAAAACAAAGCTCAAAATTGGCTCTGGACAAGCCAAACATGCTAAGGGTTAATTCTACAAACCCTGTGCACAATTCTTATGTGTTTAGTTCTAGTGGGCGACTTATTGAGTATGCAACCGCTCGATACGTTCCTTGGTAGCTCCATGAGTCTTGGGTTGGACATACCGGTTTCCTCATCCCCAAAACTTGCTTGCTCCAAACCCCAAGCAGAAGCTGAATCCCTCCTTTTTTAGATGCAATGGCGAGTCCGAAAACAATTGGCGTCCTTTCGATCTCCGTGTGCATTCACTTGCCCAAAGGCAAATCACCTTTTGAACATTGACTATGGATCAAATCAGGGACAAAGGGCTGAACTGGTCAATTCGGTTTGGGCAAGTGAGTAATTATTAAAACAAATCATCTTCCCTCTGGTCTAGGTCCTCCAGTGGAGAGGTTGGACCAAGGGTACCAACTTTTCTCTTCTGTAGTCTATAGTAGGGCAACTCTCCCCCAAAAAAGAAACGGTAAAAGGGCACCTAGCTGGAAGACCTAGGTGAGCAATTACCAAAAACATCTTCTTCCCGGTTGCATGGGCCTTCCCCCGATGCGTGGTTTGGATTAACCTTGGTTGACGTTGGAAGGGGAGCAAACAAATAAATTTTATCAGTTTAGTGGGGAATTCAACCACTAAACCACAATAAGCAAAAATTAAAATGTGTCCCAACAACCACGTAACAACGTATTAACCACGTGAAGCGAACCACAGGGCCACGTTTTGGCCACGCCGGCGCACCCGGACTCCGTCCGGGCTCCCCGGCGGAGTCCCCCTCCGCGCCGGCGCGGCCGGCGGCCTGGACCTGCGAAATCTTAACCCGCGAGGCGGTCGTTGCTTTTTTGGGGGGGTTCCGATTTTTTAGGGTCTGAGGTCGACCCCACGAAAAAAAGGAGGTAAAAAGAAAAACAAAACTGGAAACCCGGGTGTTTCAACGAAAATGGCCTTAAAAGCGAGGGTATTTGGAGTAAGGGGTAGGGAACAAGACCTGATCAGCTTGATTTGCTTCTTCCTCCGCTGGAAAACATGAGAACATGTGTCCAGTAGTTGTCCTGTTGGTTTTTATTTGGAACCCCACCCCGAAACGGCAAGACATGGACAGTTTCCTTTTCCTCCAGTAGTGAAGTCGATTCCTTTCAAACACCAACAGGGAAGAGTAAAAGATATCATTTTCAGCAAATGGAAGTCTTGGCTTCCCTGAAGAACCGCTCCACTCAAAAGCGACACTCGCGTATGTTTCTGCCGGCCCATTCTTGCAAGCCCCGGACTCGGGCCCGAAAAAATTTGCTTCACAGGATCCCACTAGTGCGTTTCTCTGATCGGTATGGGGGATGGTGTCCCCCGCCCCCCCTTGTTCGCTTCAATAAACAAGTGTGAAACAACAGCTTAAGTACCAGTTGGGGGGGAAAATTATTTTGGCACCTTAGCTCTCCTTTTTGGTGGACAAGTTTGGCATGAAGCTTCCTTTACCACTTGAAAGCCACAAAGGCCATGTTTGACAAGTTTGGCACTCGCATCCTGAGTGCATTGGCCTAAAAAAGTCCGAGTCTTTTGTTTACCAAAATGGTCCAAGCCGGAAAGTGACGATCGAGTCCAAGGATGCAGAAGTCAACTTTTGCCACTCACCCGCGTAGGTCCTCTAGATTTGAGAGGTTAGAACAAGTTGGTACCAACTTTTTGTCTGTCTATTTTAGTAGGGTTTCCCTCTCTCCCAAAAAAGAAACGGCGAGAAAGGGCACCTAGCTGGGGGACCTAGCCACCATTCCAATCCCATGGCCACCGGTCGAGTGCACGGACGCCGAGTGCCCGGCGCCCGTATGGTCGCGCTGCAGCTTGGACTCCTTCGCCTGCGAGTCGCTTCAATTTGGGTAGCCCGGCAACCCCAAGGAGCAAAGGCCAAGACCTGCCGTAGGTTTAATATGGCCGTGGCGAATTTCCAAAATGGGTTGCCCTGGTAAGTGGAAACATGGGTACCAAAACCTGCGGTTTGCCCCTCCTGTTTAATTTTGAGCCACACCCATATCTGGAATCATAATATTTCACCCACCTGAAATTCGACCTGAAATCAGGTGGTTGGGCGGCCATTCCCCACATAAACCACCATAAGGGGTGAGGTCGTGTGAGGTCGCTATAATTCACCCAGACCATTTGGGTGTGGTTGTCAAACCTAGGGTCACCTGCGGTCCATTTCCTGGTGGTTGAATGTTTTCATCCACATCCGTGGTTGACTTGGCAGTTGGAATATCAATATGCTTTTCCGGGGCTTACTTTAGGCAAATCAAGTCCTGTAAAAATGGACCATGAAAGCAGGGTTCCCCACCCCAAAAGGACATAGGATGCCATTTACGTGTCAACGGCTTCTTGATTGGACATGGTGCAATCCAACCCTCTTTGAGTGTCACTCTTTTCATCCTTGCCCAAAGGTAAACCTTGAAAACTGTGAAAGGCAGCTTTGGATTGATTCTTTTCTTGGCTGTCAAAATGAGGGTCCAAGACAAACCGCTGTCTGGCATGAGGATTCGGGATTGATGTTGAGCCCAGATTCCTCAAACGATATCAGGCCCTGGTCGCACGTGTTTCCCGCGGCTCCCCCCACATGAGCCATGGTCAACAACAAACGCTCATGTGGACCATTGTGCTGGTTTCATTGGCAACCCTGGCACTGAGACAGGCTTTCCAACTAAAGTCCAATGCGAAGGCTCCCCCGCAAAAGCTTGCTATCCAGAAACTAGAAAAACGAGCAAAACCAAACAAAATCAATTACAAACTGACGCCCACCTATCATAAGGCGAAAGCGTCCCTGGGTGACCATCCACCAACGTCATTGGATGGACAAGGTTTCATGCAAGCGCTGGTTTTTTTCCGCACATGTTTGTGTGACACGCCGCATTTCTGTACGCCATCTATCCAGATTCTGGACTCCGCAGTTTGGCTGCCGCCTTGGACATGCTCAAGTTGCCAGTGAACCACGACAACTTTCTGCTCCTGAAGCAAGATCCAGGTCCAGGGCAAACTCTTCAAACCGCCCTTTGCTGTCTGGAGTCACCAGAACCGCCAGAGGATCCAAGAAACATGAAAAAAACATCAACAAATCCCAGAAACATGCAAACAAAACCAAAACAATCCAAGAACCATGAAACAAGCACATCATCAAATACAGGATATCTCACCAAGGTGTCGGTCTGACACTGAGTCTCCCATTTCGAAGGCTCATTGGCCCATCCGAGGTGAAACGGACCTTCCGGACACCCGGGACGTTCCGGCCGAAGGACCCAACGAGAAGCCTACTGTGGATGGTTTGCGAAATCCATTTTGCACCACTTGGACACCAAAGCGTTTGTTGGTATTTACGTTGGGAAATCGAATCCAAAACCAGGGTCTCTGAGGTGCGAGAAGCGGATTTCGCAACCATCCACAGTATCGCATGACCAGGGAGCTGGGACTGTGAAACCGATGACCTCCGGTCCTCTGGTCAAGGGATTGGCAAAAAATCATGGCTGACATTGCCGGACTTGGGCGGATTGACCCAAAACCATTTCCCGACTTCTGCTTGGCCAAAACCGACCAATTTTCAAACAAGGTCCCAACTGTTGCTTGGCCTGACCAATCTAAAGCAAGCTCCCGACTTTTGCTTCGCCACTGAAACCGGCCGTCCCAAGATGTCCAATAACTCTTTGGTGAGTTCCAGAGCCGAGCCAAGCTAAGGCAGGACTGCCTTCATCCCGCATGCACCGCCTCCATTTGCTTCCAGTAGTGAAATCGATTCCCTTTAAAACCAACATGAGAAAATAGAAAATATATTTAAGCAAATGGAAGATCAGGGCAATGCGGCTTTCTCTGGAAAGACTGCCAGCATTTCATCCGCCTCCAATACTTGGCTCGCCACCTCCTCTGCCGGCCATCGAGCTGTGCAACCCATCTGCCGCCGCCGCAAAAGCAATTCTGTGGGAAGAAGCACACCTAAGGACCCCCTCGAAATTGAAAATCCAAAAGGGAACAGGGAGCCGCCGGAGGCTGCAGTTAAGCTGATAGCATCTTAGGTTGCAGTCACTGGATACAAGCGAGAAGAATGGCTTGTAAACCAAGTGTGGCCACTTGGCCGAAGATCCAAGTTCCCCAATTGGGCTTGAAATTGAATGGGCGACCCTTGGGTGGGCATCATTCTGCATGTGTTTCCTACAATTCCACAGCTGCCCGAGTAAAGCACCTTTTCATGGCGAGCTCGTTATACCCCAGAGTGAGCTCTCTATAAAACAGGCAGATTCTTGAGGTACTATGGATGGACGAAATCCATTTCGCACCACCTAAGAAACCCGAGTTTCTGATACTTCCCCGACGGAAATACCAACAACCGCTTTGGTTTCAACCATGATTTCCAAGTGGTGCGAGAAGCGGATTTCGCAACCATCCACAGTAGGATAGAAAGGACGCCCTGGCCAATGGCCAATTTGCCTGTTTTATAGAGAGCTTCTCGTTATACGCCAGATTATCGCGGTGGGATGGGGATTCAAATCCATAAAACAGGCAGATTCGGTGGGATTCACGTCCAAGCAAATCCAAATTTGATCCCCGGGCTCCTCCAAGACCAATCGGAAACGCTCCTCCTTGATCCTCCCCGTGGGGGAGTCGGGCTCCTGCGACGAGTCCAATGTGGAAATCTGAAAACCACCACCCTCAGAATATACCACTATAGAAATAGCCAATAATAGCCGCCAATTATATCTTGGAATAATATGCTCTTAATTTGTCTCATGTGCTTCGCGTCTTTCCCGGTGGAAGCCATCTTAGAACAACAACCCCTTCTCTGGTTCTCTGGTCAATCTACCGCAAACGGCTTGGGGAAAACAGGTCGGAATGGACGGTTGAACAACCGCAGGCCACAGCAAACGTGTCGTCCACACGTTGCAAGTCTTGCTTCTTCCAAATGGCGGGAAAACATTGCCGTCTGGACTAAAGATATGAAACACATCTCTCAAATCGGGGTCCAAACCTGTCAAAATATGTATTGCATTTGCCTAAGCCCCCTGGAAATGATGAGAACATATTTCCAGTAGTGAAATTGTCTCCCTTCAAAACCAACGAAGAAAATGCAAGAAAGTACAAAAGGAAGCGACTCAACAACATACTTGTCCCCTTGTACTTTTCATCAGCTCTCTCACTTGCGCAAAGGACCCGGAAATACAAGGTCAACATATTGAAACCTGGACGAAAGTGGACCAAAACGGGAAAACCAAAAGGTTAAAAGGTGGGCTTTCAACAACTGAACTGGTTCTTAAGGGTAAACTGAAGTGAGCTGGATCTTGAGAGTTTTGTTTGGGCGGTCGGCTTTACCTCTAAGCCAATCCGAAGAGAGAAGCTGAGAGGGAAAGACCAAATCGGGTGTTGGTTTTTGAGCTCTTGGCATCTGCTTTTGTGGGTGAGTAAAGGGGATGACAAGTAACCCACATGTGAAGATGTGCCATCTACTGTTGACCCCTCGCTGCGTGGTTTACAAGGCAATTGAAAGGACAGGCCCGGCACGAAGTCGAAACCTGATCTGAGTCTGTCCCTAAGATCGACTTAAACACAGTGGTTGATGTGCCCCCAAAGGGAGACCCCCGGCTACCTCTATCTTCCCAGAGGCGCCGGATGTTTTTTGGGCCCTACAGCCAGGTGTTGAGAACCCCAAGCACCGATTCCCGGGGTGTTCGCATGCTTAATGGAGGGGTCGGGTCTTCCATTGAAAGGTCCAGGAGCCGATCGGAGCCTCTGGGAAGTACAGGAAAACAAATCGGATGGATTTACAGAAAGCCAAAGGAAAGGGAGCCAGGTGGCTTAAAGACCCGACTCCATTGGACACCCCGCTTCGGTGGTTGGGACCCGGTCTCAAAACAGGTGGCTTGAAGCGGCTAGGCCCTAAATCAGTCGAATTGGAGCCTCTGGGAATTGTCCAAAACGTGGCACCCGGCCCCGCTGCGTCCTTCACCAGGGTGGCCACGGCTTCAGTCAGCCTGGGCAGGGCGTTCTTCGCTGCCAGGTACTTGTTGAGCCGGTGGACCACCTCCGGGGCAGCCGGCGGGCGTTTTGGGCGCCTGGTTTCCGTGAGTAAGCCATTGGCTGAAAAAATCGCCGCCGCTCGGGAAGAAAAAAGAAGAAGGGAAAACACACAAAATCTAGGGAAATCGCGATTCCGTGTGAAACCAAGGGCAAACAAATATTTGTTGATTTGGCCATGGGTCAAAATCCCGTACCCCCAGTGAACATCCCAATCCCCACAAAAATAGGTTTCCTTGACCGAACCATGGCCATTTCAGTGGAAGGTTTCCTTGACCAAACCCTTTCTTTTCGGGGCCAGATTCAAGGGAAAACAATTGGAAGAGTTGCTCAAAGGACCTGGAACTCTAAGGCGGTCACCTTTTGGGGCCATGGCGAAATATGGGATCCCATTTTGGGGTAGGTGAATTCACCACCCATTTTAGAACCTATTTTAGTGGGGATTGGTTGATGTTCACTGGGGGTACGATTTGGACTTTGACCCATGGCGAAATATGTTTGCCAAATTTTTGCCTAAAACCCACGCGGTCAGATCCGGTCGATTCGCTGGCAAGTGAGGACACCGCCCTAACTGTTTCACGCTTCTGGGGGCAACCTGGAGAAATAAGATCTTGGGTCCAAATTTTGTTGGCTGGTCTAAACCTTTTATCCGTTTGGTTGCTAGGTCCTCCAGTAGAGAGGTTGGAATAAGGGTACCAACTTTTTTCTGTAGTCTATTTTAGTAGGGGAACCCTCCCCGAAAAAAGAAACGGTAAAAGGGCACTACTGGCAGACCTAGGTTGGTTCTTCAAGGGAAACCACCCGGACAACGGACAGCTTTTGGGGGGATCCGTAAACGCCTCCAGTCCCTTGGAAAGGGCATGGGGCAGGGGAGAGCGGCTCGAAGGGGGGAGCCCACATTTTGCGAAAAATCCACGAGTCTCGCACCGAAATGAAACCGTGGTTGAAACCAAAGCGTTTAAGTTGGTATTTACATGAGAATCATCAGAAACTCGGGTTTCTTAGGTGGTGGAGGATTTCGTCCATCCACAGTACCTTATTTGGACTCCCTCCCGGCCCCGCCCCAGGCCCCGATGATTTAACTATTCTAGTGGTATTGACCATGGCTGGCACGACGGCGCAAACGCTTCGCTTTTGCTCGGGTAAATCGAGATAGCACCGCACAACTTCACTACTTGCTGGCTCCTGGTAGGGAGTGACGTAGGAAGAGTATGACCCGAGTCCGAGCAAGTTTCGAAACGATCTGCAAACCTGACAGTGTAGAACAGGATCATGAAAGCAAACCACCCCAAATGTCCCATTTGATGAGATCCTGACAGGGCTTGCTGCATTTCCCCTTGAAACATCAGCCCACGGTTTCCCTCTAAAATAAACCAACTGGTATCCTTTGAGCGACCCTTTAAGGCGCAGTGTTTTCGGAAAACCCAAGGAGGCCGACAAATCTGCCGCTGTCAGATGATTCACAACAGCACCCGCAGCGTCCCAAAAAGAACAAAGAGGAAACCAAACAAGACCACTCCAACTACAGGGCTCTGGAATTCCCCTTCTACAAAAAAAAACATGTGTTTTGCCCTATGTGTTCGCAATTAAACCCCTGGCACACCAAAGCTCACCCACGAGGGCAAACTTCGGGGTACCTGGGTGTTGAACACCTGGTTTAGCTCTCCTAAACCACTTCTCCAGTATTCCCCCCCCCCTTTTACCCTAAAAACCCTTGCTACATAACCACGTTCTTGCCTCTCTCGATGGAACATTGATAACCCCAGGATGACACATTTGTTTACAGACTAGTTGCTACATAACCCCTGACAACACAGCGACACTCACTTTCATTGGTCGATGTCTCCTTCGTGTCGCCCCAACTCATCGATTTGACTGTGTGTCAAAACCCCTTTTTCCCCCTGGTGAACATCAAAATAGGTGGCAAGTGGATGTTCACCCACCCCAAAATGGCTCGCCACAGGTTATGCCCCATGGCCATTTCTCTCGTCTCCGTGGCTTCCCCCCCAAAAAAAGGAAAACGTCAAACTAGACATTGACAAAAAAAATAAGAGTACTAACAAATACAATTTATATATATATATATTATGCGTGTATATAAAAATTACTTTTTTTAAACAAAAAAAAAAAAAAAAAAAAAAACGGGCCGGTCGCCTCGGTGAGCTGCAGCGGCGCGGTTATTTTGGCGTCCTTGGAGCTACGCCGCTCCCGCTCCGGCATGTAGAGGGGCACCACCTGGCGGGTCTCTCCGAGTCCGGGCGCGCGGCGCGCGGGTCCGGGGCGGTGGCCGGGTTAGCGGCCGGGTTTGGGGGGGAAAAAAAGCCTGGCTGTGGTGGTCAAAACCGTTTTGGGATCCCATGTTGGTTGGATTGGGTGAATTCACCACCCATTTTCGTCGGGATTAAAACCGCTTTAGGATCCCATTTTGGTGGTTTAGTTCCATCCAAGTCTTAGTTCAAAGGGCATGGCGGCATGGCTTTTAAACCAGGTTCAACTTTTAGTGGTTGAATGGAAAATAAAAACTTAGAGTCCTAACATCCAACTAGGTGAATTATAATATTTCACCAAGCTGAAATGTTTGGTACGGTTGGGGGGTTATTCCCCACATAAACCACAATTTGGGGTGAGGTCGTGTGAGTTCGTTATAGTTCACCCAGACCGAGTTTTGGGATCCCATTTTGGGGGTGAAATCACCAAGTTCTTTAGAACCTATTTTAGTGGGGGTTGGTTGATGTTCACTGGGGGGTGGTGGGAATTTTGAGCCACCTCGCTCAGAGCGAGTCTCCGGGCGTGCGAGTCTGGGGGCTTGGGGGTTGGAGCTCCGGCGCCGGAGCTCGGAACGGTTTGGAGCGACTTGGCGGCCGGGGTTTTGGGGGGGTTGAGGGGATTTTGGGTTTTTGGGGGCAGCTCCATAGCAAAACAAACGAGTGAACAAAATAATGAACAAGACAAAGAAAGAGAAAGAAAGAAAAATAGAAAAAGAAAGAAAGAAAAATAAAGAAAGAAAGAAAGAAAGAAGAACAAAAAGAGAGAGAGGGAGCGAGACCTGTTGTGGAGCTTCATAGGTTGCTCCTTTAGAAGTCTCACCTAGCCCATTGTGGCCCCCCTGCATTGAACCTGCAAGAGTGTTCCTCTTAGATCCTCCAGGATCCCTAGGTATGTGAGTGGAGACGGGTTGGAAATTCCCCTTCTCGGCGGCTACAGTCGACCTGCAAATGCCTCGAAAGGGCACGCGTTTTTGATCGTCGAGCTTCAAAAGGGCGGGAAAAGAAGAATATATATATATATAATTCAAAAACAAACAATTCGAAAACAAAACCGGCTCGAGGTCTAGGCGCGTTGAAAGCTTTCTTCGCCCCCCGCCTGCGACCCGAGTCGGAACTCCCGCCATTGCCCAGGCCCTCGACACCGCATCCGGAATCACCGCGCGCCGCCCGGTCGCGCCATCCGAGTCGCGTGTCGCGTCTTGAGCCAACCAGTGGCCCGAACCGACGAGTCAAGCAGAATCACCGGGGGGATACAAATCAAAGGCATGTTTAAACAAAACAGCGCAACAAAAATGGGTGGGGGGAATCAAAACTGCGCAAGCATTTTGTTTTGATGATCCTTAAACAAAAACAAAAACAAGCAGATTTTACGGGGGGAGAGACTAGGGGAATGCTCGCCTGCCTTGCTTTGATATGGCCCGTGTCAAGTACTTGCTACCAACTGGAAGTGGTTGCTCACTCGGAATGGAATGCTCTGTTGCTCACATAAACCACGGTACTCCATATGGTCTGAACCAGTCCGTTCAAAGGATCTGCCAACCTGCTAGCGCCACGCCAGCACATAACAGGTGCTCGAAGCTGAAGCTGGGATCCCAAATGCTTGCTTTCAATTGCTCACTTGCCCAAAGGACCCAGAAAAAAAAGGTCAACCTTTTGGCACCTCCACTAAAAATGGACCAAAGCGGGAAAACCAAAAGGTCAAAAGGTCGGCTTTGGGTAACTGAGATTGGGTTTTCACGGTAACTTGCCCCAAGAGAATTCCTAGTTCGGGCACATGGAGGTACAAATGAAGACAGGTGCCGACGGAATTACTTATTTCATTTTGGAACAACACTCACATTCTGGATGGACGAAATCCTGCACCACCTAAGAAACTCTGGAATTATACTTCCCCTGCAAATACCAAGCTACCAATGCTTTCAACCCTGGTCACTCATTTCGGCGGTGCGAACGGAATTCCCCAACCATCCACGGCACTTCTTCGTTTTGGGTGTCAGTTTGGGGTCTGCATTCCTTCCTTCTTTTCGCACGTGACAAAACCTGCTGGGACATCTCTCGCCGTGGCAAACCGACGGCCAACTCACGCACACTGGAAACGAGTTGGGGGCAACAAAAGCTCAGTCAGGCGCTGGCAGAACCGCAGAATTGCTCAACAAATAACTCATCTTGGGAGTCGAAGCAGCGCCACAGCGTATGTTTTGTGGAATCTGCTCAAATTTTTCCATCTGGCTTCCAAGCGCAGGGAGCCCATCATACTGCTCTAGAACTGCAGCAAAGACCGTTCCTTGATGATCGCTCCTCTGGTGGGACCCATGTCCGTCCGGAAAGGATCATAGAAAATCATACTTTTTGGTGGGTCGCGACATCCTGCACCAAGCAACCCAAAAGAATGATACGATGCCGAGGCAACTACCAAGAAAAAAGTTATGGTTTCAGCCATGGTTTCATTTCAATGGTGCGAGACTCGCGAAATTCGCAACCATCCACAGTACCCCATCTCCGAATGCTTGAGGTGCAGGGCCCGGCAAAAGTGAGTTTGAGGTGAGCGTTTAACTGGCCGCATTATTCTACCAGTCTCGGTTGCTTTCTGCTTTTCTGGAAAACAAAGTTCAACTTTAGTGGTTTAATGGAAAACCCAGTAGTTTGAAAAAAGTTAAAGTCATAACATCCAAGCAAAATGCACCAAAGCAGCATCAAAGTCAGTGGCAGGTCGAAGGAAAACCACCAACCAGTTTCTGACTTTAACCTCCAGAAACAGTCAACATAATCACCCCAGCTTGGAAACAGGTTGGATTTGGGGGTTGATCAAAAGGTCCTTTACATGGGAGGACCATTGGTTGAAAACCCTTTTAAACGCACCATATTTCAACCACATATCGATCAACCCCCCTGTGCAAATCTTGAAAAAACAATTCCCTCGCCCGGCTTCCGCCTGGCAGCCCAACGAGCTGGCAGCGCGTGAGGTGCTCACGGTGTAGCGCAGGCCTGAGGCATGCCGCTGGAGGCATCTGGTCATGAGGCGTGCTCGGAGGGCTTGAGGTGGATCCCCAATCTAACTATACCCCTCAAAAGCACCTAGCCCCCAGAAGGGAAAAACCTGCTTGGCATACTGTTGACATATATATATATAATATCAGCCCCAGTGTATGAATAGGGTGAAATGTGGGGCATCAAACCACTTGTGGAGGGGAACACCCCCTTATAAATAAAACTGGGGTTGATTCATATGGGGTCAACATTAGGATTATTTCTTCTTCTTTTTTTTCCGGAAGGGCTCGAGGTGGATGCCTTTCGGCCTCTGTATTACTTCCCCTCCCGTCCGGCCTAACATGGAACCTCCCTGAGGTGTCCTGGAAGATCCCTTGGTTCTTGGGGTACCTTCCGTTTCCATTCTGAATCCAGGGATCCATTTCTTTCTAGAAAACCTCCGGAAACCCGGGGAAAACGGCGATCGGTTTTTGGAAAGAACGATGGTTGCAAAGAATGGGGAATCAACCCCGGTTCCATGTGGACAGGAGGGCAATCGATTTTGCCCAGGTTTTGTTCTTCAGGTAGCGTTGAAGGGATGCAAGTGTCTTTCGAGATGGAGCCCTGTTCAATCCTTCAAGGTCCCTCTGAAGGGTTGTGAAGGGAAGCCACGGAGAACAAAAAGCAACAAAACCAATGGGTTGCTTTGAAGGGAAACCAAGGAAAACACATGTCTGCCTTTCTAGGCGGAGAGAAAAAAAGGGGGAAAACCAACATCTTGCTACCAAACATTCCGGGCAGTCACCTACATTCATCCCCAACCAAAAACATGAGCCAACGGTTAGCCATATGCCCCAGTGTGTTCAGCTCTGTTGGTGCAAAGCTGCATTTGTTCTGATCCGGATAGCTTGACCATTATTTTTAGTTGGGGGCACTTTGGTGGACATCATGTAGGTGGGGATTCACCCACTTTTGGGGTGGTTGCTCCAAAACAAATCACTGCCAGATGGCCCCGGTCCACCAGAAATTTCATTTGGAAGTTCTTGGGCCCTGAGTTGGCATGCCCACAAGCTGGGCGGTCCGTTTTCAGATCCCCTGCTAAAAGCTCAACTTGTGGGTTAAATGGACACCCGACCACCATATGCCCATATGCTAAACAAACAAACAAAATTAAACTACTACGCGAATGGCTCGGAACTACCAAGATAGTGTTTAACACCCCTCTATCAAAAAGGACCGGTTTATTCATGCGGGGTCAGCACCAGCGAGTTGCTCATGACATGGGAATTTGTTGGGGCTCGATCCCCGTGTTTTAGAGAGTTCCCGAACATATTCCTTGGATCATGGATTGCTGGACATTGAGGCCAAAACTCACGCGCGCACGCGGCAACAAGAAATAGAAAGACCCCCAAAATCTATGGCTTTCGTTTGGCTTCCCTTTCAACAAGCAACTCCAAGAATGTCCCCGTGTTGCATCTAAGGGGACACCAAAAAGACGCCGACCACCTGAAAAAACACTCCCAAAATTGTGATTTGCCTGTTGGTTTCGCTTGAAACCCCCCCAACAGGGGTACCGAGCCTCAAAAACAAACGACCCAAACCCCGCCCAGTTCGTAGATCTTCAGCCTGGCTTTCCGTGGTTTGCATACCCTCCATTTTGCCACACCCCTTTTCTTGGCCCACATCTGGAGTCTGCTAAAAAAACATTATGTTCAAATGACGCTCAGTACTTTCTCTACCCTAAAACTCACTTCCGAACGAGTGGATTGGCCAGAAAAAGTCGAAGCACTTCTCGTTTGCCGCTCAAATGGCAACCAAACCCAAGCAACCATCAAGTCCAGGAACTCAGGAAGTGAAAAACACACATTTTGCTGCTTTTTTTGTGCTTGTGCTAAATAACGATATATATATATATATATATATGTATGAAAACGCCTTGCGCTCGTTTTCCCCGGTGTTTTGCACGCCCCCCACGTGTTTCACGGGAATTCCAGACTCCGAGACCCGGGCGTTGCTCCACCTGGCGCATGGCGGCTGGCTCCGGCCACAGCAGCGCCTGCAGCAACGTGCACCTCAGGCTCCAAAGAAGACTTTCCCAAATGGAAGTACCACCAAAGAGTCACAGATTTTGGGTAAGCCAAAAAAATCTGGCGAGTTAAACTTTTAGGGGTTGATGCCTTATCCATTCTTTTTCCAGTCCGTACCAAGGGAATCGATGCGCATTTGGCAACAAGGATAAATTTAAGTTGTACCTGGAGTCTCCTTCTGACCCAGTTAAAATGGGTCCATGACCTCATTGTTTTGGGCAATGACCACATTTTAAAAGGGTCATGGAGACTCCCGTCTGGCGGAAAACCACCCGTCCGGCCGAAAGACTCAAGTTTCAACCTGAAGAACCCGGCGAGGTCCAAACCTCTCAACAACTTCCTTCCATTTGCTCCTTCGTCGCCTGGACAAAACTAAGGACACATTTCCAGTAGTAATAGATTCCCTTAAAAGCCCCTTCCAACAAATACACATGGGGGTTGATCAATATAGCCCATTTAGTGCCCCCAGTTCTGATCAATGGGTACCTTCTCCCAGGTGGTTGAAGTATCGTTGTTTTAGTGGGTGTCCAACCAATGGTTGATCAACCCATGTCCAACCTATTTCCAAGCTGGGGTCAATATTTTCACTGTTGCTGGAGGTTACAGTTAGAAACCGCTTGGTGGTTCTCCTTCGACCTACCACTGACTTTAATACTGGTAGAAACATGAGGCCAGTTAAACGCTCACCTTAAACTCACTGCTGCTGAACAAATTTTGGACTTTCCACCTTGAGGACCTTTTCTCAGGCCCCGCACCTCAAGAAATTGGAAATCGGTCGCATTTTCTGTGCCATCTCCAGTGTCCCAGTCTCCCAGTAGAGAGGTTAGCATAAGGGTACCAACTTTTTTGTGTAGTCGATTTTAGTAGGGGAACCCTCCCCCGAGAAAGGGTAAAAGGGCACCCCCCCAGACTGGGGGGCCTAGTTGATAAACATCAATCCCAACTCGTAGGTGGATTTCGTGGAGTTTGCCCACCGCGATTATCTTCCCTTACTTCAGGGAAACGCACCTGAGCAAAACATGCGATGGTTGAACGAGTCAACAAACCGGTTGGCTTTAAATGGGGAAATTTGGGGTCCCTATACTTTCACTCTTCAACATCGCCCAAGAATTGGCAAGAAGCACAAGAATTGGCAAGAAAAAAGAGGATGCCTTTTCTGACGAGCAGGGAGCTCTGGGCGTCTTTTTCGAGGGGAGTTCCCCTTTTGGAGAATGTTTGCAAGGGGAGAGAAGGAAGACCAACCACCATCTCGGCCGATACTCGGCGCCGCGCTCCGCCGGCAGAGGCGACTCCTGAGGCAACGACTTTAGATGGCGCTAGAAAGGAGTGTGGCTCCGTGTTTTTTGTTGGGGTTTCGAAGGGGGCCGAATTGGGGAAATGGTTTAAGGTCCAAGGTCTTCAATAAGTTTGGAGGTTTTCAAGGCAAACGGGAAACCCGTTTTGGGGTGTCCACCTATTTGCACACACGCAAGTGTAAGGGAATATGTTGCAGCCATCGAAGCTGCCGTGTTTTAAACCAGGGATCAACAAGAAGCACCCATTTGGACCATGCAAGACTCGGTCATGGGGGACCTAGAAGATAGAAGCCTCATGGGCACGGAGGGATGGTCCCATCCAGTGACCCTATCGCACTTCGTGGCTGAGTCCGCGGGCTGAGGAAAAGCCAACCTAAATACCTTGGCTGTCCCTGTTCTGATCCCCTAAAAGTGACTAGCTTGTGGGTTGATGGAAACCGAACCACTCACAAGAAGCTGAAAAGCTTCTTCACCCGAGGAACCGATTTGGGTGGGGAACCCACCAGCCACTGAAGAACTGCGATGGAGTCATGGGCAGTGCGGCTGTAGGAGGCTTCGAACAGAGTGGGCAAGAACCGGCGACGTGGTTCTTGTGGTCACAACCTCATCGGTGCCTTTTTGGGGCCTAGCCACTCCACTGTTGTCTTCTTCTTACCCCTTAAAACTCCAAGCCCTGGGGAAGTTAATCTTCTACAGACATATAGCCCATGTTACCCAAAAAGTTGAAAAGTTGTGTTTTTAAGAGGTAAGTCTTAGAAGGCTTTCTGGGTGTACCGGAATTTCGACCCAGAGCCACGCAAGTCTTGATGGGCAAGAGACTATGAATGCTTACATTGATGGCCCAATCCTCAGTTGAAGGGTTGATGACTCGATGACAATATCTCGGTTGCGCTCTGCTCCCCTGCTAGAAGTTTTAACTTTTAGTGGTTTAATGGAAAACCCATTAGTTGGCAAATAGTTGAAGTCCCAACATCCAAGCAACACGCGCCAAAGATATGACCAGCAGCCAACAGAGGACGACCCATCGACACCCAACATGACCGCCCAAACTGATACCCTGGTAACATGGTCTGCTGCACACTCTTCTAAGTGGCATGCAGTACTTGAGGGGTACACAGAGGAGTACAGCTTGGGCACGTGCACCCAGCCCTCTTAAGCCAAGCTTGCCTAGGTTTTCAGGTAGAGAGGCTAGAAGAAGGGTACCGCTTCTTTTTTTGTCTAGTCTATTTTAGTAGGGGCTTGCCCTCGCCCCCAAAAAGTTGGCGAGAAAAGGGCACCAATTGCTGGGGGAATCGTGTCTCAAGATTGGGGAATCCCGGATTCCCCAAAGAGTTGGGCTCCTATTGGCTTTCCCAAGAGTTGGAGGCCCCCTAAAAGAACACCTTGCCGCACGAATCCGAATTCCGAATCGGGGTGTCAACGTTGAATGCTGGTTGCTCCTTGCCCTGTTCCGCTGGCACCTCGAACCGTCGATTCGAGGCGAAGCGGATATGTCACCCACTTGGTACTAATTACTGCGGATGGTTGCAAAATCCGCTTCCACCCAGAAACTCCGGGAAATCATAGCGTTGGTTGGAATTTACGTTCAAAATCGAATCATTCCCTTGGGTTTCTTGTTAGCTGGTGCGAAATGGATTTCGTCCGTCCACAGGTTAAACGGAAACCTTTGAATCCATTCTTGCTATCCATTCTGATCCCGTTTTTTCTTGCCATCTATCAAAGTCACCTGAGTGAGAGGCTTCAGCGAAACAATCATGGGCGATGATCCCGTTTTTAAGGGGTCGTGGAGACTCCAGGCATCCAGGTTGCTCAAACTGGGGGGGGGGGATCCCAACTCCTAACCCAAGCTCCTCCCTTATGGCCAATTGAAGCTAGGCCCGAGTAAACCAGATGTCCACAATCTTAGTGGCTATCAGTTTTGCCCCCCGCTGCTTCAACTGTGAACCACTGCGTTGTGTGGGAATTCTGCCCAGGCTTTGTCTTACCCTTATTCGGAGAAGGAAAGGTGCCCCCAGAAGCAGCAGAATTCTACAACCTGGGGGTTGAGCCATACTGTGGATGGACGAAATCCTGCACCACCTAAAAAGTCCTAGAATGATGATTTCCCTGTCAATACCAACAAATAGATGGTTTCCCACGGCTTCAAAGTGGTGCGAAGTGGATTTCGCAACCATCCACAGTATCGCCCACAAAATGACCATGGGTTTTTGTGGAATTCCTCCAGAACTCCTCCGATCCTTCTCACTTATTTCTAGGGTTTGATTCCCCATTCTGTTCAACCATCGTTCTTTTCAAAACCGGCCGTTTTCCTTGGGTTTCTTGTGGGTTTTTAGAAAGAATTATCCCTGGAAACAATGGGGATGGTACCCCTAGACTTTTTGCATAAAAACTCCTCCTTCAGAGGTCCCACTATGTTTCCCATGGGTTTCTCATAAAAGCGGTTGAACATGGATGGCTGGAAAACAAATCCAAAAGGAACACCGACCAAATTTCGGGCCCCACATTTTATGAGACAATCCGAGTGGTTGTTTGTTCGATATGTTGTACCACATCTAGGTCCTCCAGTAGAGAGGATAAAATAAGGATACCGTTTCCCTTTTCTGTAGCCTATTTTAGTAGGGGAACCCTGCCCCAAAAAAGGGTAAAAGGGGACTAACTACTGGGGGACCTCGGATATTGTAGGCCACTTGGTCATTGGGTGATTCTTTGGGACCTCACCGCGTCTCCGAAGAGTATCTTGAGTGGCCAACAACTCTGACCCTTGTATGCACCACCAGCTTGATCTTCCACCATAAAAGGTGCAGGGCAACATGTTGTACTGCATTTTCGATGATATTATGCTTGTTTTCTTACTGGTGTTCCATCCCATGTGCCAGGTTTGTTTCGGCTCGGCGGTTGAGCCCCGGGCTTTGAAGAAGTCCACCCGCAATCTCGGCGCGGCCTCGCCTCGGTCCTCGGGGGAAAAAACAACACGGCCGTCCGGCTCACGTTTTCCACCTAAGGCGATGACTGTCGAGCGCCTTTTTGGGACGTTTTTCCAAAAAGTGGATCTAAGATAGAAAACCGAAGACGCAAAAGTAAAAGGTCAGTCTCAAGTGAACAAAAGCGGGCTTTTGTTGGGCGCCCTCCCTTCCCCCCTGCATAATTCCTTGCCCAAGGCGGGATAGGGCTCTGTTGGGGGGATGCTTCCCCTCCGATATATGAAGTATCCGGTGAGGCTGTAAATGGCTTGCAGCGTGGGTTGCAAACCACTGTGCAACAGGGGCTGCTTCTTTGGGGGCACAAAGTGGGGTATGCCGGTATGACTTTGCTGTTGTTTTTGTTGAAGAGCGGGTAACGGGTATGTATCAAAATAGAGTTCTCGAAGTGGCAGGTGAGTGGAAAGCACTTGTTGAATGGATTCGAAGGCAAAAGGAGGCACCAACCACCTGGAGGCCCTCATTTTGAGAGTCAGGTATGTGGGTTTTGTATTTTTGGCGGGTTCCCCTTGCCACCAGAGCTCGGTTGCCCTACCGCAATCGATGGACCCTAACTGGGTGAGACAAGTGTTGGCACAGACAGAGACAAGATACATATATGTCCAATAGTGATACATTTCCTTTCAAACCCAACACGGGACAAAAGTGATACATTGCCTTTAAAACCAACAAGGAGAAACAATAAAACAATATATTCCCTCTAAAACCCAACAAGGGACAATAAATGCAGAAAATACTCGTTTAAGCAAATGGAAGCAACAGTCCCGTTCAAACCGCTTAGGTCCTGACAAGTCCCTTCGGATGTCCCAGGTGGTAGCAAGCCAAAGAGGCCCCTCTACGTAAGGCCCTGTCATGACTTTTTCCAACAGTTACCGTAAAAAAAAACAAAAAACAAAAAAAAACATGCAAACCAACCAACAAACCAACCAACAAACCAACCAACCGACAAACAAACCAACAAACACAGAAAGAAAGTAAGAAATAAAAAAAAAGACGGAAAGAACGAAAGACAGAAAGAAAGAAAGAAAGAAAGAAAGAAAGAAAGAAAGAAAGAAAGAAAGAAAGAAAGACAACAACAAACAATCAGGTAAGAAAACATACAAACAAACAAAACAACAACAAGCAATCAAAGACACAACTTGCATCGTTGTGCATCACGGTGCATGCTCCTCTTTTGAGGGCACTCCTTCAAGACAACGCTCCTGATCAGAGCTTCGCCGCCGGGAAGTTCGTCAGTTGCTGGACAAACTCCGCGGTGCAAAGGCGGATACATCCCTAGGTCCTCCAGATTTGAGAGGTTAGAATAAGTTGGTACCCGATTTTCTTCCGTAGTCGTTTTTAGTAGAACCCTCCCCCAAAAAAAGATGCTACTGGGAGACCTAGATCCCTTTCAACCTCAAAATGGACAAAAAGACCTGCCCACTTCTGCGAATTGCACGGCAATCCTCTGACCCAGCAGGCTCAACTTGTCCAGCCCAGGCGTCCGCGCCAACTCCATCTGGATGCTCGGGTCCGTCTGCGTATCCTAACTCGGCCATGGAACGACGGCCAAAGAACCCCAGAATTCTGCGTGCGCCCTTCAAGTTCATATTGCTATCAGTAAAGCAATAGCAGAGCAGGGGAAGTTTCAAGCAAAAGTACCATATATCACTTGGAGCACGCTTCTTTTCCACTTCTCTCTCTCTCCCTCTCCCTCTCTATACAAATATCTCTATCTTTTGCTCGCTCTCCCTCTTTATCCTCTTTCTATTCCTGTGTCTCCTTCTCTCTTTCTAATAATCTTTCCTCTTTTTCACTTTCGTTGTTTCTCTTCCTCTTTGCCTTTCCGCTTCTGCTTCCTCGAGGCCGCAGTCAGATTGACCTTTGCTTGTGTGGTTGAAGTCAAGTTGGGGATGGTTCGACGCAAAGTAACTTAGAAGCCCGTTTCTTGCGTCAAGGCAGTGCAACACGCCATGTGGGAAACCTCCGATTTGGACAGACCTGATTCATTTCAGCCCCCTCTGGCTTCTAGGACACTCGCCAGGCGCCATCCGTGGAAGATGGGGCCTTGGGGAGTCCAAAGACAACCAGAACTCTTTTCTGAAGCGTGGCCGATATTCTCTTCACCGGTTCTCACGAAGCCGCTGAAAAAGACTCAGTTTGGAAAACCCGGAGTCAGAATCGGCTACAAGTAGAAATTGTCCGCTCAAGTGATGTCCTCCAAACTGACCCTCATGGTGTGTTTCAACCCAAGTAATTTTGCGAACCTCCGCAACAGCTCACCTAGGTCCTCCAGTAGAGAGGTTAGAATTGGAGTACACTTTTTTTCTGTAGTCTATTTTAGGTGGGGACCCCTCTCGCAAAAAAGGGTAAAAGGGCACTACTGGGGACCTAGTCACTCTCAGCAACTAGACCCAACAGAACCCACGCGCGCCTCCTCTTGCCTGAAGTGCTCCTCCCCTAGCTTCCGCTCGAGCCTTGATGCCAGGACTGTTGGCCAATCCTAATCCTTGCTCCTAGAAACACAACCAGTACCTCACTTTCTGAGTGGATAGGTCAAGCAAAGGGAAAAGTCCGAACATGTCTTTGGCCACTAAATAGTCCAAACCCAAAAAGTATGAAGTCCAGGAACTCCAGAAATAACTTGCAGAGGGAACCCTTTACGTAACCCAAGCAAGGGAGGATGTGCCTCCAACACAGACCCTCTGGGTTCCATGTTTGCTTCTTCGGAGGGTAGCAACGCCACCCTCCTATACGTATCAGGGCCATGTGTGGGCCAGACTTCTTCGCGCTGTTCCCCTGGCTTAAAAGAAGGCACGCAGCCCCCGTGAGTCGATCTCGGGCCATCGCTACTCACAAACCTCAAAGAAGCCATGACCCGAAGGGCGCCTTACCAAGGAAAGCTCTTCTAGGTCCTCCAGATTTGAGAGGTTAGAATAAGGGTACCCGATGTTGTTTCTTCTTCTCTTTTTTCTTCTTTTTTTTCTGTAGTCTATTTTAGTTGGGGGAACCCTCCCCCAAAAAAGTTGCTACTGGGGGACCTAGTCTTTTTACCCCAGCAGCATTGTTGAGCTGGTGAATAAAATTGTCCAGGCGAAGCTCTTTTTAATCGGATCCCTTTCTGCTTGCGAAGGGCCTACAAAAAATGCGTGCCCAAGAGTGTTCTCACATTCCCACCCCCACCCCCCCACCCCAAACATTTGGGACCCTGTTTCAAGCATGTTCAAAGGGAAACAAAACAAAAACACACACACACACACATGTGTGGGGCTCCCCTATTTTCAGCCTCCCGCATTCCGCACCCTAGAAATCCGTTTCGGGCCCCGAAATCTTTCAGCGGGTGGAATGATTCCACCCGCCGGGCTTCCGGGCCACGAGACGACTAGGTCCTCCTTTTAGCGGAAGTTTTCCTCCCCTCCAAAACAGGGTGAAAAAGTAGTCGAGGGGCATGCCTAGCAATACATTGCTTTCATCCATACACCCCACCCTACAACTTTCTTCATCTTCCATCTTCTACCCTTATTTGTTTTCATCATTTTTCTACATTCCTTTCTGTCCATCTCATCCGTTTTTTTCTTATCATGTTTCCATTTGTTTTCGCCATCCTTTCTCCTTCCTCCTCGCCTCATTCATTTCACCAACTACCCTTCAAAATGTAATTTCCTCAATCTCCTCACCTCATCCATTTCAAAAACAATATTTTTGCAAAATATATTGCAAACAATATGTGTCATCAAAAAAATATCGAACTGTCTAAAAACGGTTTGTCCATTTCTCGGACAAAAAATAGAACAGCAACAACATCACTCTCCTCCTTTGTTTCATCAGCTTCATCATATATATTTTTAGGCGTGGTGTCCCTTGTAGGATTTTATCTTCAATATATAAAACGCTATACTTACATTATAATTATAACATATAAGGGTATAAATGTTATAATCATAGTATGGTTTTAATCAAAGTCATTAGTATTCAAATATTCCTTTGTAATCTTTGGTATTTGTTTAAAGTTCTTTTTATTTTGTTTAAATGGATATTTTCTATCAGCAAAAACATAAATGCAAAAAATGTATGCCCCAGTTTCCTAAAACACTTTGAATATCATTTATCACATCACCATACATTAATTTACCTATTATATTGTTCTTCTGTTCATCCTTAATATAATCACATATTTTATCAATTATGTTTTTCAATTATTGGTTTCTTTGTTTTATGTAGTTTAAGAATGTTTCCTTACAACCATTTTCAATTTTATTATTTGACCCATCATACTCATCAATAAATTTACGTATCATTTTATTATTAAATTATTCAATTGGTCTTGTTGTTCCAGTTTTGCCACCATAACTAACTTCATATGATTTTTCGTAGTAATATCTAATATCATTATGACATTTTAAAATATATTTTCGTTATCTTGCAGTATATTTTTTTTTAAAAGTTGTTTATATGTAGGAAATTGATTTAACTTTATAAAACAATATGTTCTTAATGCTTCGTCATTATTGAGAAATGTATTTTCTTCAAATTCCAATTTGTATTTATCATAAATACATTGTCTCAATGTTGAATGTAAATTACTTTTATGTAAAACTTGCTTTTTGATTTCTTTTAAAAAACATTTCTCGCATTCAACATAATTAACAGCACAAATGGGTAGTTGGTGAAATGAATGAGGCGAGGAGGAAGGAGAAAGGATGGCGAAACAAAATGAAAAATGATGATAAAACAACGGATGAGATGGACAGAAAGGAATGTAGAAAAATGATGAAACGAATAAGGGTAGAAGATGGAAGATGAAACAAGTTGTAGGGTGGGGTGTATGGATGAAAGCAATGTATTGCTAGGCATGCCCCTCGACTACTGAAAAAGGGCACCTTGGAGGACGTAGACTGAGCAACGGCAAGCAATCGTGTAAAACTTGGCCACAAATCCCTCTGGTTGAAATGCAAGGCACCTTGAAGAGTGGGGGGGTCCCGTCATTCGATCTGTAGACACTCACCGTTTTGCACAAAGGCTCTTGTTGGGGGAGCTTCCGGGAAGCTGGCTTTAAGTAGCAAGCGTCTCTTTGTTGACAGCCCCTGTTGAGCAGGTTCAGACACCCAAACGAGCGAGAAAGGAATACTAGACTGCTGACAGTGGCGGAGAGTAACGCTACATGGGCTTCAGCCATTGGAAGTGTTCAGAGCTTTCTGGGGAATCACTTTGTAAAATCAGATATTTGGATCTTCGGTTCAACGCGAAACCATTAGAACACAAAGCATTTGTTGGGTGGCCAACTACTTTAAAATACACCCCGATGTGGGATCCCTTTACACCCGAGTTGTCCATTCCTCCGTTGACCCTTTACCCCAATGACCTTGTTGGACAAACTCATCAATAAACAAACCAACCAGCCAACCCAAATCGATGCACACACACACGCACATCTGAAAACGCCACCTGGAGTGTCCATTTAAAATTGGGGGCTGAAGGCAACAGCTAGCGCATCCGACCAAACCTCTCAGGGTAGATTTTCCCAACTGAACTTGCTGAGAATTGGCCGAACATAAGGCGTCCATGGCGACTCGCAGTCGCCACCACATGTTCAGGTTTGCTTCCAAGCTTCGTGTCTGGCAATGTTGACCCGGACAGCGGATGTCCATGGCATGGGAAAGACAGGTGTTTTGATCTTAGAAGGAAACCCCTTCAGAGCAACATCGGACAAAAACAAACAAACAAAACACCACAACAGGGCGCCCATGTTTAAAACCCCCTTGTAAATCTACCTCCACAACAAAAAAAGTGTTCCTTCCCCTTTCCCTGTTTTTTTTTTGGTTTTTTCTTTTCTGAGGAAACCCTTGCTTTAGAGCCGAAAAGGACGCCTTCCAACCGGTTTTGTTCCCCCCGGAACCCGCCGTCGCTCCGCGGAGTCGCGTGGGGCTCCGGGCACCTTCTGCTCGAAGTCGTTCACCGGGCCCCGGTCCACGGCGCTGAAGTTCCGCTCCAACCTCCGCGACAATCGCCGCGTTGTGCGCGGCGTTCGGAACCGCGGAGGAACCAAAGGACCCAGGGGAAACGCGAAACTGTGGGACATCAGATCAACGCAATTCATTTTTTTTAAATATATTTTGCGTACCCTCCCACCAATGGAACCCTTGATAATTAGGGGGTCCCTTTAAAAAAGGAACATGGATGATAACATGGTCTTCCAGGACTTTTTCTGTGTGCGTAGTTCATTGGTGGGAGGGTAAATCATCATCTTTAATAAGCTCTCAAAGAACGACCTCTGTTCGGCTTGTTAAACTCAGAGTGCTCATTTGGATGGCTCCATTTGTTCAAGGTACCCATCTTTTGGAGTGGCTTTAAAAGGGAACGCACATGGACACCAAACATCTGTCCGCTATTTTAACACACAGCCATTGAGACAGCTGAAGTACCTCCTGCAAATATCGGTTGCTTTCCCCCATGACTACTAAGCTACCCAATGGAAACCCTGAGTACCTCCAGAATAGTGGTATCTCCAGAATTTACCCCAGGATTGCTAGAGGTTGCTCTTTTTGGCCGCTTCAAATGTCAGTTTCAGTGGGTCCCCAACCTACCAGGTGCCAGCCAGAGTTCGCAGCAAATGACTACTGATCCTCTTCTAGGTCCTCCAGTAGAGAGGTTAGAATAAGGGTGCCCGATTTTTTCTGTAGTCTATTTTAGGGGAACCCTCCCCACCAAAAAAGGGACTCAAGGGCACCAATTGCTGGGGGACCTAGTTCATCTTACGTGAGACGTGCCTACATGTCAAGCTTGCCACTTCCAAATGCCACTCACTGACACCCATACCATGTTGTCTATTGCTCATATTTGGCAACATGTCACGTCTCTTCGTTAAAAACTCAACCCCATCATTGACATGGATCTGAAGCTAGGTTCCATTAGAACCCCAAATGGCAAGGGTTCGCGTTCAGTTCCCCAAAGGAAGCACCCCCGCCGACCAGAAAGATCGCTAGCGCGGCCTAGCTGTACCTTCCTTCCGTCTTCGTGCACACCCTTCGTGAAACCCCTGGAGGGTGAAGGTGGGAGAAATGGCTATGGTGGCAAGACCGAGTGGCTGATATGCTTCACCCCGGCAGCGAAAGGAGCCGCAGCTTCTTCTTGCATGGGGTTGTAGTTCGCCTGCCGTTTCCGGCTCAGGCGGCTGTATGGCGTGCAAGGCGGTCCCCAGACATAGAGGTCCTCAGGGAAGGCCAGTGTCCGCACGTGCCTCATGCTGCAGCCCTGTCCTCAGGGTTTGCTGTCTGCAGGTTGCTTCCCCATGAAGGTAGCAACGCCCAGAGTTGAGGGTGTGCGTCATGTCCGCGAACATCAACTCGGGTGCGAGCAGATCGACCTATAGTTGATTTGCTTCGATTCGCCAAGAACTTGCGCTTGCTTCTTCGTCCCCTGGAGCAAAGCTAACACCTTTTCCAGTCGTGAACAATCAACAGGGGGCAATCGCAACACTATTCGTATGGGGGGGGTGATCAACATGTCCTTTACACATTGAGGAAAACCACTAAAAAGAATTGATATGACTGTGAGTCAAAAATAGGTACCCAAAACGGAGCCCTGGTAAATGGAACCAAGGACTGAACCCTGCGCTGTGGTTTAGTTGTGACCCACAACCATATGGCCATGGGTCAAAATCCCGTACCCCCAGTCAAAATCCCCACTAAAATAGACTAAAATGGGTGGTGCACCTACCCCAAACTGGTACCATTGGTTTTGACCCACAGCCATATGTCCCACTCCATGGAAGCGAATTAAATGAAGAGATGAGCCGCCCATCCCCGATCGCCCGATCGCCCGATCGCTTAATCGGCCCCCCTGCGAGGGATGCGCCGAGATCGCGTTCCTGCCGGGTCCTGCGGCATCGGCCCCTAGGGTTTTCGGCCAAAGTCGAGGGAAACTTCCATTTCCATTCGGCCATAGGGCATAACCTATGGCGATCCCATTTTGGGGTGGAACATCCATTTGCCACCTATTCTGATGTTCAGCAGGGTCACAGGGTTTTGACCCATTTCCATTTCTGAACCACCACAAACCCTGGGGAAACAGCGATCGGTTTTTGAAAAAGAACCATGGCTGAAAAGAATGGATAAGGAATCAACCCCTAGAAAAAGGACCACCACAAGCAAACCCGCAAAAGCCATAAAGGTCTGCCGCGCGACTTTTAGCGTTCAGGTTTGGTCGTCTTGAGAAAGGAGCAGGTTTGTGCATACCGAATCTGGGCAAGTAGGAAAAAACAAACCCTCCCATGGAAGATCTGGCACCCAAGGCGACTGTGAAACTGAGAAACTCTGGGACATCTGCCGGCACCCCAAGGACCCACCCTCCCACCCCCAAACAAAACTAGACCCAAGGACCCACCCAAGGACCCACTCCAAAAAAGACCGGACCCCACCCACGCACACCAACAGCTCCCCGTTGTCTGGAGCTCTCGCATCGCTCTATCAACCCAAGCCCCAGCCTGTGGCCAGGCGCCGCACCTGTCGATCCGACGTCTCCGTTTCGAGGTCACGGGGCTCTCCGTTTTTCAGAGCCAAAAGCTCGGTGACTGGTGACATACGGAAGGGTCCTAGGTGAAATTGGATGGCATAAGAGTTTTAGTTCATTTGAACTGTTTGACTTGGCCACATACATATATATATATATATATACATAGGAAACCCCAATGGCTACACCACCTCACACATTGGAGACACCAATTTGGCTGGCAAGGTGGCAGGGCCGAGCTGCCAACTGCTTACAAGGCCTATGGGGATTTGAGCTCCATGAAACCAGGTACCTAGTTTGGCCAGGGTGTTGGGCAATCATGAATTGGCACCCCACAAGAAACCAAGCGACCGGAAACCCGGTGGCTTGACACCAACCAGTTGCCAATCCCCTAGGCTCCAGTAGATTCTAGTAGGGGAACCCTCCCCCCAGAAAGGGTAAAAGGGCACTACTGGGGGACCTAGTTTGGCAATCGCTTGGAAAGAAGGATGCGTGGAGTGTCAGAAGAAGACCAGCTGGCAGACCACCTCACTCTTCAGATGTAAAGTCATCTTTCAGGAAGGTTTTGTGAACCAACCGCAAGAAGCGATCACCAGCGAAAGCCTTGCTCTCACCGCTACGATCCCAAACGCCTCACTTCCTGAGTGAACTGGACAGAACCAAACTCCAAACTTTGCACTTACCACTTTTCTTTGGCATCCAAACCCAAAACGTGACGATCAAGTCCGAGTCACAGAACTCAGGCAGTGAGTAGAACATGAGGGCTACCCTCCTCCCCGAAAAAACAAATCCAGATCTGGCTGTGGGTCAAAACAGTGTACCAAAATGGCAGCTTGGTAAATGGAAACAAAGACCAAAACCTGCGTAACCCCAGCTGTTTCATTTTGAGCCACACCCATCTGCTGCCCCTCCAAAAACAAAAACATATTAAAAACAGAAACACAGAAAAGTAAGAAAAGAAAGAAACCAAGCTGGGACGTCCGGCCCGGCGCACTCGGCGCCCGGGGTGGGTCATGTTGGTCTGCGTGCCAGCGCCTCGGGTGGTTGGTCGGGCACATGGGCCAAAAGAGGGCCATGTTTGAGTCACTGGGGTAGCTTCCATTTCCGTTCCAGGGATCCGGTGATCTTTTCAGGAAATCCAAAAACCCTGAGACGGATCCGGTTTGTGAAAAGAACGATGGTTGAAGAGACTGGAAAAGGAATCAACCCCTAGAATCACATATGACCAGGTGCTAGGCTCCAGACAGGTCCAAACAACGGTCTCCAGAAAGGTCCAAAACAGGCCCAAGAAGGCTCAAAAGAGGTCCAAGGAAGCAGTCTTTAGCAGGGAGGTCCAAACAAGAGGTCCAACTAGGTCCTCCGGTAGAGAAAGGGAGAGAAGGGCACTACTGGGGGACCTAGATCACATACAACCAGGTGCTAGGCTTTGGGGCAAAATGAGTCATGCTCAAAAAGCCGCAGCTATTTATGGCTGGGATTATCCCTTTGTGGCTCAAATGAGGATGGATCTTCTTTTGAAGGGGAAAAACGCATTGAAAAGGAAACACCTTTCTTCCATTTGTTTCTTCGCCGGCTGAGGTGTTTTGTTTTGCATGGCCCTGGCATTAGCCTAACCCTGGCACAGCCTGGCGTGCACGAAAGGAGACACTAACAGATAGAGGTTTGGGGTAGGTTTAGGGTAGGTTTGGGGTAGTCGATTTGGGATAGGTTCTGGCCCGGCATCGTTTTAACATCCTCAGCATGGTTTTCAACATCCTCAGCATCACCAGGTTTTGGTTTAGGCTGGGTTCCAGGTTGGTTCAGGGTCGACCCGGCACTACCTCAAACCACCCAAGTGGGCTAAAACACCCTTTCCCTTCTTCGCCCTCTTGACAAAAAAGAGATAACCTATGCCCAATGGTGATGGATTGCCTTTGAAACCAACAACGGGAAATGCAAAATTGGTCTGGGAAAGCCCTCTATTGATTTGGCCATGGGTCAAAATCCTACCCCCAGTGAACATCCCAATCCCAACTAAAATAGACTAAAATGGGTGGTGCACCTACCCCAAAATGGTACCATTGGTTTTGACCTTCAGGCCTTGCTGAGGGATGCTGACTAGCTCCTCCAGTAGAGAGGTTAGAATAAGGGTACCCTTTTTCTGTAGTCCATTTTAGGGGAAGCCTCCCAACCCAAAAAGAAACGGGAGAGAGGTCGGGCACCAATTGCTGGACCCAGTTGAGGCTTTGAGAGGTAGCCCCGCCCCGCACCGCTCAAGTTGGAGGTCCAGACGCGGCCTTCCGGAAGCTTGCAACAGCGCAAGCGCAGCAAGCGCAAGGCATACGGTCAAAGAAAGTTGCAGGAAATTCCACAGGAAATTCCAGCTGGTTTAGGGCGCTTTGGGGCCATGTTGGTTTTCCTGTAACCAAACCCTCTGATACGGCGGCAAAGTTCAAGTAAAGAACCAAACAACTGCCGGATCCACAAGGTGAAGCTTCAGCCAAGGGGGCAAGGGGGAGACAACCATCATCTTGCATAGATCCAAACTCGTGGCCCACATCTGCAGTGCACAGAAATGATGTGTTCCGAATATGTGTCATAGTCATATTTCGTCCATCCTATATATATAGAGATATGTTAACAAACAAATCGGTTCAGGAGATCCCGGGATTGAGGATTGATCTTGAACCTAGATTTACAGATCCTTACAACCGGTTGGCCTCTCTTGAATCGATGGCCTCTCTTGAAAAGCCAGGGGTTGCCAATACCCCTGGAGTCACACCAAAAGGATGCCCTATGTTTTCCAACCCTTGGTATGTTTGCAGCAACACGTTTTCTTTGCAACCCAATGAAAATGAACAAATGTCCCCTTCAGTTGCTTTATTTTCTACAACTGAAGAACGTGCCAAGAAGAGTGAAGCAATAGGTTGGCAACCAAACAGTGAGGTTTAAACAAACCCGCCGCCCAGCAGGACCTTTCTGTTTGTTGAATTCGTTGAGCTGGCTCAGGCATTCCAAAGGTCAGCCCTGCATGTGACAGCCATTTAAGCGTTTGGCCAACGGGTTCACCAAGCTGTATGCCGGGCATCACAGTATCGTCAGTGCTTGAGGCGAGAAACTGCCTCAAAATCCCTCGAGCCCTCAGCCCAAATGGCGAGCACTTCGAGTTCCCAAAGCTCTGGTTCACGAAGGCCCGGGTGGCCCGGACACAATCGTCCCAATGGCGGTTTTAAGGGTCCGAAGGGTCCGAAACAAATCCAAGGTCCAAAAAGGCTCACAAGAGGTCCAAAAAAAGGAGCCCCAAAGAGATCCCACAGAGGTCCAAAAAAAAGAGGTCCAAAAACGAGGTCCAAAGGTCCAACGAGGTCCAAGAAGGAGGTTGAAGGAGGTCCAAAAATGAAAAAGGTGCAGAAAGGTCGAAAGAAGTCCAAAAAACAATCTCCCGAAAGGTCCACAGGTTTTTAAAAAGGCTCAAAAGACGTCCAAACAAGGAGTCCCAAAGCGAATCCCAGAGGTCCCAAAACAGACGTCCAAAAAAGAGGTCCAACGAAAAAGGACCCAGAGAGATCCAACAAATATGTCAAATAACAACACTTTTTGAACGTCTTCCTTTTGACCACCCCGGCGATTCCCTGACGGTGCGGGGGTTTCTCAGGCGCCCTTGCGGATGTCCACGAGGTAGCGCGTGGTGCCCGAGCGCACGCTCACGCTGTCCTGGGGAAAAGTTGAGGTCGAACGAAGCATGGCCCGGGTCCAAAGGGATCCAAGTTGGTTGTTATGTTGGTTGGTTTTGTTCGTTCGTGAGTGGGTTGAGTAGTGAGTTAGGTGGTTAGGAAGCTATTTGGTTGGTTGGCTGGTTGGTTGGTCGGTGGGTCGGTGGGTCGGTGGGTCGGTGGGTCGGTGGGTCGGTTGGTCGGTTGGTCGGTTGGTCGGTTGGTCGGTTGGTCGGTTGGTTGGTGGGTTGGCTGGACATCAAGTATGGGTTCCATGATCCTTGATGGCCCACTATGTGGCGGCGGTGGCTCCTGTGGATGGACAACAAGGATTTTCGAGCTGGGACTTGTGGCAAGTATTCAAACCGGGCTTCCATCTCAACTGGTGGCTGGCGCGGATTTGGTCAATCACCAGGCCCAGGTTGCATGGGTTCCAATGTTCAAAGTCAGGCGGTTTCGGAGGCGGGGGTGACTTCAACAATGGCCTTGATTGCGCTTAGCATATCTGCATGTCTCCAAGCCGCCTCGCACAACTTTCCGCGCGAGACTGAAGCTGTGACTCCGAACGGCAACGTTCTGCTCGCTGAGGCTAGCTAGCTCGCACAACTTTACAACCTCAGCTTCTGTACGGAGGCCAAGCGCAAGCCAATCAAAGCACAGCATGAGCGATATTTGTCACAAGAGCACTCGAGGCGAAAGATCATAATTCAGAAGACGCCTTGGAAAAGCGTCATCATTTAGGAAGGAATCTGTTGAACAGTGAGCAGGCACTCACCCCTGCCCACCAGAAATTTATATATGTGCCCTTCTGCCCGTACATCAACACAAATCTCTTCTGGCATCTCAGCCGTGATTGTCCGCTCCCCTGCGGTGATCAGGAAGTGCTTGCTCTTGGTCACCTGGGGTGGGTAGCAGCACGGATCACGGTCACCCCTGCAAGATAGCTGAGAATAGTTCGCCGTGGCCTTGTCCAGGAAATACCCGGGATCTGCAGTCACGCAAACCCGAGTATGGCAAACAACAGGCTTGTAGCCATCCCAGCATCCAAAGCATGGCGATTGATGGCTTGTGCAAGTCAATGTGGCCGGAGCACCTTGCGAGCTGTTTGCAGTTGTCCTTGGCTATGCCCAAGCAAGGACCCCAAATCCTACTAAGAACGACAAGCTTCATGTCGTTGTGGGTGGAACATTCTAGGGGTTTATTCCCCATTCTTTTCAACCATCGTTCTTTTCAATAACCAGTTGTTTCCCCGGAAAGAAGGATCCCAGGAAAGAATGGAAGCAGAAGCTACCCCTAGAAAACATGGACCCCGTCCTCTGTGCGCGCCCGTCTCACTCAAAACAAGCCCTCGAAAAGCAAGCAATTCACGGCCCAGCGTCTCATTCGCTGCAGGCACTTCTTGTGCGCCTCTGAGATTCTCGTGCTGCCCTGCCACAAGTGCCACGAGCAGAAGGAAGCTCAAACCATGAGACACCATCAGTCACTCGCTTTGTGCAAATGCTCTCGCGGATGCGAAAAAGCTGCGGCAATTGAAACAGGTCAGATCTGCTGGCATGTTCTTATTCTTCAAGTGAATCCATCTGAACAAATTTGAGTTCCTCGAAAGAATTGGTAGATGTCAATCTTCCAGCTCCTTGCCCGCGGCAAGCTGTTGAGCATGGAGTTCAGCACGGCCAAGTTGGTGCTGTGGGCTTTGAAGGGGATCGGGAGCCACCGATTTGATGGGGTCCCCCCTGTTTCGGCACATAGCCTGGAAGGAAATCGTTCATGGACAGTTGGGGTGGACGCAAGCCTATCAATAATTACTGGGAGAAACCGCCTATCAGCTGAAAACCCTCCCAACTGGTAGGTGTTCTAACCCCAGTAGCCAGCCCCGGTTTTCGGTGCGCAGGCACCTGTGATTCCGGCCATTGCCGGGAAGGGGACCCCCAGCAGGAAGTTGTACACTCAAAGGTCCCTTTTATGGAAACCCTGCGCTCAACAAGTAGGCACGCTTTTTTCTTTCTGCCGGATGTAGATATTCAAGAAAAATCAATTTCACAGAAGCCAAATAAAGGATCATCTGCGGAGGGAGATTGTGTGGGCATCCTTAATTTCGGACGACATCACTTAGGTGGGGATTCATGTCCGCCCACCACTTTGGCGGCGGTTCCCTATGAACACTCATAGCTGTTCTAGGCGTTGATTCCCCATTCTGTTCAACCATCGTTCTTTTGCAAAACCAGCTGTTCCCTGGGTTTTTTGAGGGTATTCTGAAAAAAAACGGGAAAACATGGGGAAGGCACCCCTAGAGCTGTATCACTATGATCACAGAAATGTTCTCCACCCGAAGATGCCGGATGGCTTGTGAGCAAAAGCAATTCCCCGGCTTCATGCGGGGCGTGGCTTCCGGCTGGAAGAGCCGGCTAGCACTGACGGGTGTGTCTTCATGGAGGATAAGCCGTCCTTTGTGGCTTTACAAGGGGACCAAAAGGAAACAAGCCATTTTTTTGGGAGTCCCCTACTTCAAGACACACCCTTATCTCATCTAAGCGGGGCCGACCATCTCAACTCAATCCGTCGAAATGGCGCAGCCGAGCTTTGGCGTTACGGCCAGTGCCGAAGATCGCCCGGAAGAGTTTACAAAATGCGCCATGGGCCAAAGCCCCAGCCCAGTAAAGGGAAAGGTTCGACTGGGGTCATTATTTTCACGATTTCTGGGGGTTATCAAAGTCAGACAATGGTTGGTTGTTTCCCTTTAACCCACCACTTAGGGGGTGACTTTGATCATAGCAAAATAATGAAGCCAGATCGATCAATTTCATGGCTCACTGGGCTAGACAGAGAAGTTTCATATTCTCAGGTTCTGTTTCACATTTCGTCAAGGTCCTCCAGTAGAGAGGTTCGAATTAAGTTGGTACCCGATGTTTTTCTGTAGTCTATTTTAGTAGGGGAACCCTCCCAACCAAAAAAGGGGTGAGAAAGGGCACCTAGCTGGGGGACCTAGTCAACCCCAAAGAATACCGATGGGACAAAACCATAGCTTCGGGCCTTCCCAACCGGCAGCTCGCTTTTCCCAGCCCTGAGCAACCCCGCGAGATAAGCGTTCTTGGGGCCGAACGTCTTTCAAGTTGGAAACCCTCCAAACAACTGTACAAAAAAGGGTGCCGGTGAACAACTGGAACTCATGATGTGGGAATACACTTTGCATACGAGATATGTGTCCACCAAATGAAGGTGTCCTCCATCAAAACTCGTATGTCTGTGTCATGGACCAAAACCCTTTTGAGTGTGTTGAAAGTTTATTGCAGATAAGGATTCCTAGTTGGATGACCAACCGACAAAGCACGTGGTAAATATTCCTATTCAGTTCGTGCCCAAGTCAGATTTTCTCGTACAACTCACTCAGGGGACCAATTTTTTGACCGGGGGTATTTTCACCACTATGGCCATGGCAAGGCCACGCCTCCCATTTTGTTTTTGACACGCCAATTCCCAAGGGCCTGGCACGTGGACTTGCCACTCTCCTTCTTCCCGGTGCAAGAAACAAAATCAGGCTCCTCTTGGTTACCTACTGGGTTCGTTTGGGCGACAATCAGGTTCAAGGCACCCAAAGTGCCAAAACCCAATACATATACAGCTACAGGTAACGTGGGTTGTTCCTCGTCCATAACAACAACTCCACAAGGGGAGACTTTGCCTCTGATGCGCTCTCAGCTTATACCGCGAAGCTGGCAAGCAGGTTGAACAAGGCGGACACGATGAACACCGCGGAAAGGAAGATCTGAAACCCACCTCAATCGGTGTCTCGCCTTCCGGTAGAAAGTGGGGTCATCTCTATTCAATCGGCGCTGTGGTTTGTTTCACTGGCTTGTGCCCTAAGCAAGGTTGGGCTACATGAAACACAGGGAAACAGCGAAATTGGCTAGGTCCTCCAGAGAGATTAGAATAAGGGTACCCTGTTTTCTGTCGTGTATTTGAGTAGGGGAACCCTCCCAGGGCACCCAGCTGGGGGACCTAGTTGGGGTCATTTCCTGAAGATTGTGCTGTAAGTTAACCCTTTGACCCAAGGATCGCTCCCTAGCCCTACATTGCCCACCCTCACCTATTTGCATGCATAGATTCTCAGGGAATGGATGTGTCTTCTCCTGGGCCCTAGACGCTCCCCACAACACCCTTGCAGTTGGGCCGAAAATCCATCGAAGCCTTGTAGCTGTCTGGTTTAGTGACTCACCTGTTCATTCCCAAAGACAACCATGGGCATCTGCATCCCAGTTGCAACCGGAACAATGAATCATTGCCTTTGGGGGGCCACTTGCCAGCTTCATTTGTTTCGGATGGTCTCAAACCCACGGAAAAAGGAAAACCAGTGCACGAACCCCTGGATTGCATGGAGTGTGCATTTTGAGCGCCCCTCATTTGGGGGGACCCCAGTCATTGAAACGTTCTGTGGCCTTAACCTTAGACCATTGAGTTGAATACAAACGTTGCCATGTCAACCAGGTATCTGGAAGCATCTCAATGTGTTTGTTTTTCCCGGCCGTGAGTGCCTTCATCAAGCCATACCCAAGTCTCTTCAAGAATAATATGGATCCCCTGGAGAAAATTGGTGGCTTCTACAATGGGGAATGCTTAAATCGGATAATGTTAACTTCGGATTAATCCAAAGGGCCCTACGTGGGGGAACCCCCAAAATGAACTGCTTCAGATGCATTCCCCAGTTTTCTTTTGAATTCAATATTGATGGCGCGCCTTAGTGACACGGAGCCAACTGAAAAAGGAAAAGAGAGGAACCTCAAAAAAAATGATAACTTCCTTACTCAAAGGGAAATCAATCCCTTCGACTCATTTGGCTGTGGGTCAAAGATTACCCAAAATGGCACCCTGGTAAATGGAAACAATGACTAAAGCCTGTGGTCCAATTCCTGGTGGTTTAATTTTGACCCATACCCACATGGAACCTGAGGCTTCGGGGTCCTGGTGTGGCTCCCCAATGCGATTGATTTAGGGCCTTCAAACAACCTGGTTTTGAGACCAACCAATCCCTTCGCCTCGTTTTTGTGTCGCCCATTTGATCAAGGCCATGGCGGTTGAACAAAGGCTTCTCCACGTTCAGCAGCAACAGCCTGCGAATCCGAAGCGCCGTCGCTCGAAAACTCGCATTTTAAGCACGGGAGGTCACCCAAAAAGGGCTCTCCCAAGTTCTGCGGCATATCCCTTCTAATATGAAGCTTGGGTCTGGGAAATGTCCCTCTCACAGAAAAGATCCCTTGCGCACGCGGACGCTAGAAAGGTCTGAGGTTGAAGCGCGGGGATGACCATCATCATGATGGTGCCCATGGTTGCCCCCAGTAGCCCCACCACCGCGGCCACATCTTGCACCTGGCGAAGCGAAGGC